TTCATTTTCGACCGCCAACCACGCAAAGCCAAGCTCTCTCTCGAGTGGCATTTGCTAAAACGTCCCCAAATGAGCAGGACCCTCCCGAAACAAAACAAAAATACTACACAACACAACAAAAAGAGTCGCGGCTCAGTGAATCTTTCCCCAGCGAGGGGATGGGGGGTAAACAATTGGCAGTGTTAAACACTGCAGCGGCAGTAATAGTCGTCGTCGTTGTAAACACGTTTCTGTAATGAAGTAATGCCACTTTATTTCCTCCTGTATGCTGCCGTGTGTTTTTATGTCGATGATGAAGTAGACTTCGCTACGGACGCTTGCCTTTCTTGCCTTCCCCCCCAACTCGCTCTCCTCCCACGCGCCCACCCCCCTTCCGCCCCCCGTTGTCCGCTACAAGAGGATGAAATGCGTGGAGCATGATTCATTGCCTGCCGTTGGGTTTTTCCCCCCCTCTCCCCCTTCTCTCCTTCCCTCCATTCTCGCCCATTTTATCTCAGAATCCTTGAAGGTTGGAGACTGGGGAGAAGTCAGCCGTAAGGCACGGCTTAGAATTGTTAACGTGCGGTTGGAGACGCACGGAGCCCCCCCCCCACCACCTCGCGCGCGTCGGACGAGCGAGACGGCGGAGCGCTGGGCGGTGTGTTTAGTCATCGCTGGAAATTCCATGAGCCACGATTCCGCCTAAGCCGCTCGAAGCGGCAACAAATTAAGTAGCGCTCAGAAAATTCAGTCGTCGAGAGCACCGCGGGCCTTCTGGGAAATACTGGACATCTGTGGACAAGAAAAGAGCTCTCTAGCTCATCGGATTCCTCCGGTGGTAATTAAATTGATTCTGATTCTGAAAAGGAAAAAAAATACGTCGCAGGGAATGGCGGAGCCAGGATTTTCAGGTAGGGGTGGGGGCAACCCCTCCAGCAATGAAACACGATAGAGGAGTTGTTAGTAAGCAAGGACTTGTCCCTTGCTTTTTCTTCGAGGGGTGTGCGGCGATGGCTCAGCCGTCGATCGAGGGTCGAGTTCGAACCGCGTTGTGTGATCGGCATCGCGCTCGCTGAAGGTGTTGATGCCTCCAGGGAAGTCGTGTGGACTGTAGACACAACTGCGCACAATTCTGTGAGTCACGTATAACCGCTTTGCCGTTACTTATTGCTAATTATTGACTCAGACTATTATCCTATCATCTCATAGAGTCCCTGGCACGGAATAATATGCTACACAGTGGCAGTGAGGGTCGCAAAATGCCTATTTATTACTAATGAACCTCAATGATCTGATCGAAATTAGGGATTTCGATCGGATCATTGGGGGGGGGGGGGCACGTGCCACCCCCACGGAGCAATGGCCCTTCGATTCAAGGCACCGCTGTTGACGAACGTTTTCGAGTTGGTTTTTGTTTTCGCCACGCGTGCTTGTGTGCACCACCAATACCAGCAGCATCACCAAGTAGTTTAAGTTTATAAGGCAGGAAGCTTTGTGGAGCGGCGGCACGGTGGTTGTGAACACGAGTTCCGAGTTCGATTCCCAGCCATGGCTCACGTCGGTTGCGAGTGAGAGGTGAACTGGTCCGGGCTTCCCCTTCACTCACCTGCCATAGCCTGCGTGGTGAAGTATGGTCAAACAACCCCGTGACTGGCGCGGCGTGGGGCGGCCTTCAGCAGTGCACAAACCACCATCATCACGCGAAACTCCGGTCATCTTCGCAGCAGCGGCTCTTGAAGCCATCGGACAAAGACGGCGATCACCGCGTCTCGCAATTTTGGATGCGCTTCTGCGGCCGTCTGGAACGCTCTTCCTTCCCGATATTAGGAGCTGTCATCTGCGTTGAAAACGAACTTCTTTAGAACTGCTTTTTGTGTTTAGTTTATTGTCCTTACCCGCCCACCCCCGCACCTCCGATTAGCACGGTTGACTACGTATGGTGGGAAAGGAAGTTCAACGTAAATACACACACTCACAGACAAGACGAAAGGCCACCGATTCTTGACTCGAATCGCTTCGCTGAATCGTGGGCATTCCTCGCATTGCAGCGGTGGGGGGGCGGGGTGCATCATGACCGCCCCTGTCCCAACATTTTATCGGCAAAACTAAGAGCAATTTGTTCATGCGCCGTGACACCGAGTCGCATACCCACAGTATCCAACACACACACAGGTCATTGTGAATGACAGAGTCGTGTACGTTCTCGTGGTGTTCTAGAAGGGCTGGTCACACACATTGTCTCGCTTCGAACTATATCAAGTGCAGTATTTAAATGCCAACAGATAAAAAAAATATATATATAACGTGGGTGCCCAAAACGTATGGCCGAGAGAGAGGTCACTGGTTTTACTCATCGGGAAAGGGCTGAGGAGCCTAACGTTCTTCATTGCTTTAGTCCGCACGCTAAACGCTTACAGACACGCCATCTCCATTGGCTGCGAACTGGGACATTCTTATCGTGCGGGCGTGACACTGAAGCCCATGTGAAGCGGGCAAAGTCCGCCACCGGATTCTTCGTCGGTGAATGGGGATTGTGTTGCTTTGTGAGCGTGCTTGTGTCTGCACGCATGTGTCTGTGCATGTGTCTGTGCATGTGTCTCTGCATGTGTCTGTGCTTGTGTCTGTGCTTTGTGAGCGTGCTTGTGTCTGTCCTTGTGTCTGTGCATGTGTCTGTGCTTGTGTCTGTGCATGTGTCTGTGCATGTGTCTGTGCATGTGTCTGTGCTTGTGTCTGTGCTTTGTGAGCGTGCTTGTCTCTGTGCTTGTGTCTGTGCATGTGTCTGTGCATGTGTCTGTGCATGTGTCTGTGCATGTGTCTGTGCTTGTGTCTGTGCTTTGTGAGCGTGCTTGTGTCTGTGCTTGTGTCTGTGCATGTGTCTGTACATGTGTCTGTGCTTGTGTCTGTGCATGTGTCTGTGCATGTGTCTGTGCTTGTGTCTGTGCATGTGTCTGTGCATGTGTCTGTGCATGTCTGTGCATGTGTCTGTGCACGTGTCTGTGCACGTGTCTGTTCATGTGTCTGTGCACGTGTCTGTTCATGTGTCTGTGCACGTGTCTGTGCATGTGTCTGTGCACACATGTGTGCGGTGGTGCAGCGGTTTGCGCGCTGCGCTACAAACCCGGCTACCCGAGTTCGATTCCCGCGCACGGCCAACACCACCAGTGACGATTATCCGAGCCTATCCTGGGCCTCCCCTAGGTTGACTCGGCCTCAAAATGAATACTTAGTGCGGTGTGCAAACATCGCCACATGGGGACAAAGGTGACCGGGCGTGGTGTTGACCACCCACCCCCCTCGTGTGCCGTGCCGGCCTTCAAAGGTGCTCGTTAACAGCACTTGCCCCAACAGTATGTTAAGGTTATATGGGGGACCTTTGTCTTTGTGCGCGTGGCTGCCACATCCACGTCCGTCGAGGTTTGTTCCCTCGCGTCGTCCTCGTGCGTCCCAAAAGCCTCGCCGGAGGGCGCAGGCGGTCTCCGTTGTATCGGCTGCTTGACGCGGCTACGTTCAGGTGTGCGAGCTCCTCTTTGCGAGCCTGCAGACACGTTCACGTGTGGGGTGGCACGGTGTCTCTGGCAGTCCGGCGATTCTGTCTTTGCTTACGAATGAGGGCGAGTGCCAGCAGATATTTTTTGGCACTTTGCTACGAATGGATTAACATGATGACGATCGCTTGTGTTGCAATCGAAACGTCGTGATTTATTTGATTTTATTTCGATTTAAAGCTTTCGTGACTGCAGGGATTCATCTTCTTGGTTCTTTCGGTAAAGTCACGTAGAAGGGAAGTAATGAAATAATTAAAATAAAACATAATAAAATAATTCTCACGACGTTTCGGCCACAACGGCTGCTTGCGTTGAGAATTATTTTATTATGTTTTATTTTTATTATTTTATTACTTCCCTTCTACGTGACTTTACCGAAAGAACCAAGAAGATTATTTGATTTTATGTCTCACTACGTGACTTTGCCGAAAGAACCAAAGAATGTGGATTCCTGCGGTCACGAAAGTTTCTTGGTATTTGCGCAAAGCGACTCCGGAGCGTACGTTTGGTTGTCGCGAGAAGATGCGTATGACTAGAACACCATGGTTAGCGTCGCTGTGGAGGTTTTTCCTAGGAAGGTAAATCAACGGACAATTGGCTCGTGCTTCCCACACCTGAAACGCCACTTAAATTTTTTTTTTACACATCTCACCGACCACATGGCCTTCTGGGAGTGATTTTTTTCTCCCCAACAGTGTTGGTTTAATACAGTCCAAGGGAACTCTGCACCGGTGTCGACATTCAGTGTCTGATGCAGCAGAGTCCCGGCACGCTTCAAACAATGCTGGTGAATTTGCCAGATGTTTTATGAATACGGGTCCTAGTTCAATTCCAATGTTAGCCTACGGGTAACATCAGTGGCGAGCGATATCTGAACTGGTCCTGAGCCGATACCCTTCCCCACAAATTGACCAGAGTGGTGAAGTATGGTCACCAACGATCCACAAATGCGACGGAGACATCACGACGATGCACCGCCCCGCTGCTCCCGACGCCGGATGTCTGGCTTGACCACCTGAACGTGAAATGATATTTGTTGCGCTGCATCTACAGAGCAAGAAGTCTTTGAGATAAGTTCATAAATGCCATGTGGATATGATACGTATGAGACAGACTGCAGCGTGTATGTTTGCAGGCGATGCTGCATGTGTGTGGTGCCTTGTGCAACTCCGCAGGATTGTGTCTGCGTGCGTCTGCGTGTGTGTCTGCGCGTCTGCGTGTGTGTCTGCGTGTGTGTCTGCATGTCTGCGTGTGTGTCTGCGTGCGTCTGCGTGTGTGTCTGCGCGTCTGCGTGTGTCTGCGTGTGTGTCTGCATGTCTGCGTGTGTGTCTGCGCGTCTGCGTGTGTGTTTGCTTGTGGGGAACAGCAGTGTGGCGGTTGGCGCGCTGCGCTACGAACCCGGCGACCCGAGTTCGATTCCCGCTCACGGCAACCACCGGTGACGATTGTCTGAACCGGTCCTGGGCCTCCACTAGGTTGACTCAGCCTCAAATTAGTACCTGGTGCGTTGTGTAAACATCCGCCACTGGGGAGACAAAGGCGGCCGGGCGTGGTGCTTGCCACCCACCCCCATGCGCGTACTGCTCCGGCCTTCATAGGCGCTACTCGCGAACAGCACTTGCTCCTACAGTCTGTTAACGCTATACGGGGGTGGGTGCATCTTTGTCTTTGTATGCGTGCCTCTAGGTGTTAGCGATGTGAGCGAGGGCCACCGCCATGCCGGGGATCGTGGTGTTTCGACGGCGTTGGTCGGTTGGAAGCGACGACCTCGTTCTTCCGGGGATCTTCCTCTTCCTCCTGCACGCCGTGTGGTAAACCCCCCGCCGCCATCCATCGGGCGGGCGTCCTACACCCGCTCGGCACACGCCGCGCGCGCTCAACGATCGACGTCAAACGTCCGGGCGCCGCGGGGGTGGGTGCGCGCAAAAGCCGTCCCCGCGGCCACTTTAATTTCACGCAGATGTCACGAATCGGTTGGTAGCAGAAATTGAAACGAACAACCCCGTCAAGGATAACGGTGCGTTTTTTTATTCTTACAAACGATAAGCATGACCCCCCCCATTGTCAATGAGGCACACCGATATGCGCGAAGAATAGATATTTAACTAATTACAGATTCGCAGCTTTAACGTACGAATCGCAACCACGGGCACGGGTGGAGGCAATGGCAGCTGAATGTTGTACGAAGAAGCGTAAAGAGAAGCTTCTCTGCTCGCTGTTCTCGTCAAGGAGCACGAACCACCACCATCACGCAAACTCCAGTCATCCTCGCAAGCAGCGGCTTTTGACGAAGCCATCGGACAAAGACGGCGATCACCGCGTCTCGCGATTTTGGATGAGCTTCTGCGGCCGTCTGGAACGCTCTTCCTTCCCGATATTAGCAGCTATGCACTTTTAATCTATGCTGAAAACGAACTGCTTTAGAACTGCTCTTTGTGTTTAGTTTATTGTCCTTACCCGCCCACCCCCGCACCTCCGATTAGCACGGTTGACTACGTATGGTGGGAAAGGAAGTTCATCATCATCAGCAGCAGTAGCAGCAGCAGCGGCTGCTTTGGCTAACCGTCGAATAAAGACGCTCACTGCATCGCGCGCTTTCGGATGCTCCTCTGCGGCCGTCTGGAACGCGCTTCCTGCCGATATTAGGAAGTCACTGGGAGCTACGGCACTTTAAAATCGTCGTCGTCGAGATGGACAAACTCATTTCTTTAGAACTGTGTGGCCAGGTCGCTTCTGAAAAAGAGAAATATAGCTCAGTGGGCTTTACCTGGTACAATAAAAATTAGTTTAGTTATTTTTCAGTTGGGATGTATTGACGCGCAAAACCCCAAGATGTAGCGCTCTCATGCATATTGTGGTTCTCGGCACTGATACTGGACACTGAGGTGTGAATAATTATAGTAATTATAATGATATACATTTCAACTCGTAACGCGCCGCATGCTACTCGCTCGCTCCCGGAGGCGCGAGGAGGAACCACAGACAAGCTGGAAGGGCGGCAGCAGCAGTCAATTCCCCTCCTCCAAGCTCTGCGGTCCTCTATATACCCAGGTGTTATCGGCCAATCAATGAGTGTGCATGTCCGTGGGAGGAATCCGGAGCATTTGGAGGAAACCCACGCGTTTGCGAGGGCACAACACTGAATCCCATACGGACAGGGGGAGATGACATTATTCCACACTTCCTGAACCGCCTTTCTCTCGGCGAGCCGGAGTGCGAGCACCTCCTCGACGCCCACGGCAAGGGCTGCTTTGTACGTACGTGCGTCGGACTTCTTTCGCACCGTACGTAGCCGACCGTGCTAATCGGAGGCACCGGGGGGGGGGGGGGGGGGCAGGGGGGGGGCAGGGACAACAAACCAAACCTCGCCACTTCCGCATTGCTAGATTACCAGGCCAAGTGCAACGTAGCCACCGACCACCGGAGCTTTCCAAAAAGGAAGTTGAAGGCGGTGGTTACGGATGGGTCCCGTGCGCTTTTGTCACAGGTGTCGGTGAGCCGGTGGGAAGTGAGCGAGCGGAGCGAGTGAGGCTGTGTGCGTCTTCGGCTTGTGATGGGCGCGTTGAATGGGGTTGTGAGGCTCAAGTCAAGAGACGTGTGCTGTTTGGCAGGCCGCCCACTCAACGGCCTAGTAAGAGTGGAGTTCCGCTGGGGCGTTCAAATTGTGTCGTGATAACGAGCGTTGCCCGTGTTATTTGGCAGTCCGGTGCGTCGTCACTCGAGGAAAGCAACTCGAAAATAATCTTCCTGGGCCCATTGAATACAGGCGGTGGCACGTCGGGGCGCGGGGAAATTTCATGGGAGGATCGGGTTGGCGAACTTGCAGGTTTTTTAAAACAAAACATGGCCGCGGTTTTAAACGTGCGATTCGAGCGGTGAGCAATCGTTCACGGATCGTGAGGTGGCTTTCGTTACGAGGCCGTAGGATGTCTACCAATGTAGGGCTCTTAAACGAGACGGTGGGGGGGGGGGGGGGTGTAAATTGTCCACGGTTGTTGATCGGGGGGGGGGGGGGGGGGGGGGGGGGGGTGTAAATTCTCTTGTGAAACACCTGCGGCCTTGCTTTGTTGAACCAGCTCGGACCGCACCTCGCCGTCCGCCCTGCGACGGCGTCGCCGCTCTCACGATTCGCGAGCGCTCCCAAGCCGCACGAAAGGTGCTCCCGGCCCGGCAGTCAAGAAACCGCGTTTTTTTCTCCACAAAACGACGAACGGTCGCCTTCAGAGTGACACGCTCCGTACGCAATCGCGCAAGACGACTTCCGGGGGCGGGGGGGGCAAAAAAAGCGATCGAGAGATTGCGTCGCGGTTGGTCGCGTCGAAACTTTGCCCCCCCTCCGCCGCCGACCCCAACCGCCCCAACGGTTGGCCGCCATCGCCACCATCGCCACCATCGCCGCCATCGCCGCCATCGCCGCCATCGCCACCATCGCCACCATCGCCGCCATCGCCGCCATCGCCGCCATCGCCACCATCGCCACCATCGCCGCCATCGCCGCCATCGCCACCATCGTCGCCATCGCCACCATCGCCACCATCGCCATCGCCGTCGGTGTCCGCTGTCACCACGGCGTCACGCGCGCGCTGTCCTCCCCCGCACCCCCCCCCCTCCCCCAGGCTCGTGGTGCTGTGCGTGGTGCTGTTCGGCGTCCACTTCGACGCGGGCAAGCTATGCTCGCCCACGCTCGTCGACCATGGCAAGGGCTACCTGGGCATCCTGCTGGCGTGCACCGTCGCCGAGGCGGCCATGGTGTGGATGAGCATGCGGGGCAGCATACTGTACACCGAGCCGCGGAGATTCATGCAGCACATCATCTACATCCGACTGGGTACGACGCGAGCGCGAGGGCACACCGCACGAGGAGCGTTCGGCCCTGCCGTCGCTTTTGTCGAAAAGCTTTATTTGTTATCTGTCAACAGCAACAACAACAACGTACGTGAGCTGGCGGGTGAGAGCCTCAGCTGTGATTAAATGTGGTGTCTCAGAGTGTGGTGAGTCGATGGCGTGAGCCCCGGTCGTCAATGACTTTCAGAGACCCGTAGACTCGCAAAGAGACTTGCCATAGAGACCCATAGACTCGCACAGAGACTTGCCATAAATACCTATAGACTCTCACAGAGACTTGCATAGAGACCCATAGACTCACAGAGAATTGCATAGAAACCCATAGACTCGCACAGATAATTGCATAGAGACCCATAGACCCGCACAGAGACTTGCCATAGATTCCTATAGACTCTCACAGAGACTTGCACAGAGACCCATAGACTCGCACAAACACTTGCATAGAGACCCATCAACTAACACAGAGACTTGCCATAGAGACCTATAAACTCACAGAGAAATGCATAGAAACCCATAGACTCGCACAGATAATTGCATAGAGACCCATAGACTCGCACAGAGACTTGCATAGAGACCCATAGACTCGCACAAACACTTGCATAGAGACCCATCAACTAACACAGAGACTTGCCATAGAGACCTATAAACTCACAGAGAAATGCATAGAAACCCATAGACTCGCAGAGATAATTGCATAGAGACCCATAGACTCGCACAAAGACTTGCACAGAGACCCATAGACTCGCACAAAGACTTGCATAGAGACCCATCAACTAACACAGAGACTTGCCATAGAGACCTATAAACTCACAGAGAATTGCATAGAAACCCATAGACTCGCAGAGATAATTGCATAGAGACCCATAGACTCGCACAAAGACTTGCACAGAGACCCATAGACTCGCACAAAGACTTGCATAGAGACCCATCAACTAACACAGAGACTTGCCATAGAGACCTATAAACTCACAGAGAATTGCATAGAAACCCATAGACTCGCAGAGATAATTGCATAGAGACCCATAGACTCGCACAAAGACTTGCACAGAGACCCATAGACTCGCACAAAGACTTGCACAGAGACCCATAGACTCGCACAGATAATTAATTGCATAGAGACCCATCGACTTGCATATGGCGAGTTGTGATTCAATCGGGGGTATCTCCGAGTGCCAGATATTTCTAGTTGACAATTACTGCAGAGACACCCATCACATAGGGCGGTGTGCACATCACTGTGCCGCCACTCCTCAGAGTTATATGAATTTGATACGATAACACAGACAGACAGATAAGGATATGATTGATTACTGTTAAACAAAAAAAACCTCATCAATTTTGACATTCAGGTGGCTCAACCACAAAAGGTTTCCCAGCGGAATGTTTTACAGCTCGCTTTGTGCGAGCGGGTACATTTCTCGCCGGCAAGACGTCGCCTAATAAACGGATGCCGCTCGGACAGCTGGGTGATATGGGTAAAGGAGAACCTTCTACGAACTCTGTCGGGCCATGAAGGGACATGACAACAAAATTCTTTTTCGGTAAAGTCACGTTGGTAAAAAATAAAATAAAATAAATGAAAAGAACTAAACGTAGTTGTTTTCATTTTTTATTTTTTTTAAACAACTAAATTTAGTTGTTTTCATTTATTGTTGTTTTCATTTATTTTATTTTTTACTTACGTGACTTTACCGAAAAAACCAAAGAGTATGAATCCTTGCAGTCACGAAAGCTTCAAATCTAGAAACAACTTAATTTGCTACAAAATCATCGTGCGCTGTGGGCCAAGAACACTTAACGAGTAAACGGAGAGTTGAGGATCACCGTAGTCACCTAAAATAAAAGAGGATGTTTGATCGTTCGGGCCCAAATCCCTTCCGTTGCCAGTGCTTTCCCATCGGCGTTTGTTTGAGCCGGCAAAACAACCGGGAGCGCCGGCAAATGTCGTAGCAACGCGCCGGCAGTAGCGACGACGACGCGTCAAGGGATACCACGTTAATAACGGAATGTTTACGTAAGCTTCTTGGATCTCTCGCATCGTAGATCATTTACGAAAGCCGCGTCTCTTAAAAAAGAACAAACAAAAAACCTCAAGTGTTAAAATAATAAAATCGGCTGACTTAAGCCACTGAAGCTGCAATAACCGAATGAAAAAAACATGCCCCACCGAAGTGGGCAAAACCACTTCCGCGGGTGATTCGCACGCACAGGCACGCAACGGGACTGTGACCCACGCCACCTCCCCGCCATCGCCTCGCTCGGCGGCAAAGGGGAATTCAACGAGGGCCCCCCTCGGAGCCGGTCACGTGACCACGGGAAGCATCGGCACTGCTGCTGCTGCTGCTGCTACTACCACCGCACGGGCCGGGAGCAGCGACGGCCGTTAGCTTTGCCTCTGTGCTGCCCCGGGGGGTGACTGTCCGCAGCGAGTGTGGCTGCGGTGGTGTCTGCTCGCGCCATGCGGCAAGCGGCGCCTGGGTTCGAATCCCGATTCGGGTGCGAGCGTGATCGGTTCCCATTTCCACCGCATTTTGATAGCATTTCACGTGAACATACTCAGACACTGGCAGCTGTCCATCCCGCATCGGATTTTATGTTCCTGTCTGGCGGCATCTAGGCCCGTTTATCCTTGTTCTAATCAGCACAGTAACGTAGGCGTGACATTTACAACTTCATATTTATAAAACATTTTTCGTCATCATCATCGGGATCCTTGGGGCAGATGGCCCGTTGGTATCCACTGCACATTTTGTGCAGCGGACACCTACGGGCAAATCTGTCCACTACACCTGTAGCGGAGTGGACGCCTACACAGTGCCAAAATGTTTGAAGAACTACGGAGGCAATTGTATAGTTGCCTTTCAAACCATTCCTGCAATCTGGAGGCGGGAGGGGGGTACCTCTTAATCTACTGGTAAAGATGGGAAAAAGACAACAGAAGGAGAGGGAGTTTCCTTGTACAAATGCCTGCAGTCTAGCTCAGCGCACCACTTCAAGATGCCCGCAGCCACCGCCGCGGCAGGCAGTCGTGCGTGGCGAAAGCCCCGAGAGGAGAGGAGAACGTGTCAACGCGCGGTAGCCCACAGCCCACGACGACTACGCTTGCGAACGCTCGGAGTGATCGCTCCGCTCGCACTACTTTTGCGTGTTCGACATCCACATCCTCGCAAAGCTGGAGCTCGCCTCGCACGGCCTTGTTTTGCGGCATTGTTTTCTCGTCTTCTTTGGTCGCGAGCGGGTTCGTGTCCTCAAAATGTTTGTCCGTCCTTTGCTTACGGAGACAAAGGCAAACATTTCTCCCCGCCCCCCCCTCCCCTGTATAGCTTTTAACAAAAAGTTGGGGCAAGTGTTGTTTGCGAGCACCTATTAGGCTGGAACGGTACACGAGAGAGTGAGTGGTCAGGAGTGGAGTTTTAACAGACAAGGCCCAATCTGTGTTACCAAATCAGTCTTCAAATGTTGCAGACATTGGTGTTTATATCGTCTTTCATTCTTTCCTTACTTCTTTCGCACGCCCATTTGAAAAGCAACTTACAAAACATGGGGCTGTGCACTTTGAAATCTAGATTGAAAGTCATTTCTTTCCCACCGTACCTCCGATTACCACTGTTGGCTACGTACGGTGCGAAAGAAGTTCAACATACTGCTGTACATTTCCTCATGATAAGCCACTTCGTTGAGCTATCATTCGTGATGGCCAGGTCGCTGCTGAAAAAGAGCTACATAGCTCTGTGGGGCCTTACCTGGTAAAATAAAAATCGTTTAATAGTTTGAAAAGTTCGTTTTATTTGATGGATAGCCTCCGTGCCTCCTGTGCAAGCGTGCACTGGGCAGGGGTCAGTCACGTGGTGCACAGATTCACTTCGCCACGACAGGGCGGCTCTTTCATTGATACAAAGCGAATCCTCGCCACCGTTGTCTCTTCGCTGTCAGTCTGACCTCACGACCAAGCGGGCGACCGGACTGGCGACTATTAATAAAATGTCATTATAAAATGTTTCCACCTCGTTGGGCAGAACTCCGTCGTGGACAATTTGAATCACAATTTAAATTAATGCAAAAGGATCAAATTGAACACAAATTGCGACCGTAAATGTGCAAAGCGCGAGGCCGTTATTTCCCCAGAGATGAAATTAGCATCCAAATATTCTCTTCCTTGTGGAGTAAATTTCCGGGCCCCGCACGGCGAGTCCCTGCGTTGTGGACCGGCGGCACCACGGCGGCGTTGGCGGTTCGCTGCACGCGGCGCCCCTTGAACTCGGCCGCCTGAGTTCAATTCCCGGCCACGGCTCACGTCACGGATGAGCGATATTTGACCCGATCACGAGGTCGCCGGTTTACCGCTCCCCCCTCTCACACCCCCACCCCCCAATTCACGCTGACCACTGTGATGAAGTATGGTCAGACGGATCCCAACAAGCCGGCACGATGGTGGGCGACCTTCGTTCAGCGGTGGCTTTGACAAAGGGCTGTAAATCAATGACGGGGTGAGATGGGGTTGCGTATCAACTCAACTATTTTTACTTTACCTGTTCAAGGCCCACTGCGGCTACAGAGTTCTTTTTCAGAAGCGACCTGGCCACGAACGATAGCTCAACGAAGTGGCTTATCACGTGGAAATTTATAGCAGCCAAATAAACGTGGGCGGAAAAACTGGATGACCCGGATAAAAATCCACGGTGGCCACAAGGAGAGCGAGAGAGAGAGAGAGAGACATGCAAACTCTCCAAATATACAGGCATCAGGGTCAGGGTTGAGCCCACGATCTCTTGTAAACAAGGCGAGGTAGTTAACATCTCGCCACCGTGATGATGAGCATGAAAGGAAAGAAGGGAGTCGAGCAGAGATCATAGGACTAGGCACGAGAGGTCATGCTGCGTCTACTGTGGTGTCCCTGGCTCGGCCGCGCCGCGTTTTGTACATAAGTTGAACTTATTTCGCACCGTACGGAGCCAACCGTGCTGATCGGAGGTGCGGTGGAAGGGTGACGAACTAAAACACAAAAAGCAATTCCAAAGAAATGAGTTTTCAACCTCGATATAAATAACGCGATCGAAGCCAAAAACCTTTATTATGAATAATGCTGGCCGCGAAAGCCTGCGTGTTAAACTCGATTTAAAAATGCATAGCTCCAGTGGCTTTCCGAATAGTAGCACAACAATGCGCGTGTGACTCATTGTTGTGCAGCGGAAAGTAAGAGTCGCACAGCGCTTGGGAATTTTCACAGTCGTCGATCAAGCTTTCGTCTTTTCTCCCCGTCGCCGGCATTACTTTCGCGTTGCAAGAAATCTACGGATAGCAGCACGGGCGACAGGATTAATGAATAACGGGGGATTGCGTAACTCGCGAGACCTTTCGTTGTCATTTTAAGACGCTCGCGCACGCACGGCGCGCGGCCAAAATGCGACCCCGTCGACGAATGGCAATGTAGCATTTAATTTGTGAAAGCGTTACGTACGGAGATGTTTTATTTATCCTCTCGCTCTGAAATTATTCTCGTCTGCCCCGCCCCCCCCCCCTGCCGCCCCCCCCCCCCCACCTCTTAATTTACGCTCGCAATTTTACGCTCGCGTGGGATTGGCCTCGTTGCGCCCTGCGACGTGATTTAACGCGCGGCGAACGAGTTGTTGGGCGCGCGACTTCAGCGTCGCCCGACTTCGCCGCGGTTCCGAGCGAACGTTGCTTGACCTCGTTTCTGCTGGATACAAATTGGGTGGGGGGCGGTGGGCGGTGAGCGGTGGGGGGGAGGGAGAGAGCGGGGGTCCGTGGTGGGAGTTACCGAGATTGAACTTGGTGTCTGATCTGTCACGCACTCCCGTCTGCAAATCCACGGGGATCTGCAGATTACAGGGAGGAGAATCGTAGCAGCCCCCCCACCCCCCCCACCGCTTCCTCTGACCCTGCAGAGAAGAAATGATTGTGGGTGAGTGGGTGGATGATGGATAAAAGGATCTAAAGGTTTTATTTTGAATATCATATCATCACCCCCCCCCCCCTCCACCGACTTTACGAATTGGCTGTGTCGGCTGGTGCTGGCGGGTTTAGCGACACGTTTTTATTTACGCAATCTTACACCCCCCCCCCCCCAAAAAAAAAAAAACCCTTGATTGTGATAAATATTTGCCGCGAAATTCAACTCTACGTGTTGAACCCATTGAAGCGCAGCCATGTTGTATAACTCGGCCCTCATTACGAGTACCACATTCTGCAGGCCGGTCTTCGAAGGCGGCTGTGTTTTTTTTTCCGGCTTTCGTGCTCACGCCCCGTTGTCCCTCGCACGGACGCGTCGGGCGGGCGGCCGGCGTGGGGACGAGCGAAGATGCTCGGCCCCGGCCAGAGGTCGCAAACGGGTTTTGATTCCTTACCCGTACCCGGCCGCACCAGGGTCACAAACGGGTACCCTACCCGATACCCGGCCGGGTACGGGTAGGGTACGGGTATCGGGTACCTGATTGCGACCTCTGGGATGAAGATATGTTGCAGGCGCGGGTGGGTTGATTCTAGGAACTTGAATTGTGAGAAGAGACAAGACGTTGGGAAATGAGTGACAAACGGTTACTCACCAGTGACTCGTAGCCTACCCGTACCCGGCCGCACCAGGGTCGCAAACGGGTACCCGTACCCGTACCCGGCCGGGTACAGGTAGCCAGGTATCGGGTAGGGTACGGGTATCGGGTACCCGGTTGCTACCTCTGGGCCCGGCTCTTTGACGTCTGATTTCCGCCCCGCCCCGCCTGCCCGTTTTCGTTTCAGCAATTCTCGTTGTGGAATTTGTCTACTCCATCGTCGGCGTGGTGTGGATACTCACGTACTACTTTTCCTGCGACGACACCGTGGCGCGCAGCGTCACCGCCGGTGAGTGAATCGGGATATTTATTGTCTTCATGATAAAAACGTTTTTTTGGGTTAGATCGCGTAAGTGTAAACGTGTCGTAACGCTCCACCACCCGACACAGCCAATTAGTAAGGGATTTGTCACGTAAATTACAAGCGAAACGTCGTACTCAAATTGTAAGCGGTGTGGATTTACTCTCCCAACACACCGGTGGGTTGAAGTAGTAACTGATTGGCGTTTTGTTCACGTGACAAACCCCTTACTAATGGGCTGCGTCGGGTGGTGGAGGGTTACGCCACGTTTATACTTGGGTGATCGAACCCAAAACACCTTTTACTATGATTAATATTGGTCGCGAAAGTGTCCTACGTGTTAAGCAGATTTATTGTTTACTTGGAGGAATCCGATGAGCTATGAAGGTCTACAGCTGTCCAGTAGAGGAATGGGGTCAGAACGCTACAACAACAAACGGTACGAAAACACGACAGGAGTGCAAAGTACAAGAAGTGCATGGGGAGGGGTCACCTTTTTATTTTTAGTTCGCTTGTCATACGATCCATCGATTACAACCAACGAGAATTTGCATTTTTTACTCTCGCGTTGGGTTGAATATTTTTTAAAAGGTGTGCGCATTTATTTAACGTCGTTATCAACATCAACCGTGATTGCAGATTATGCTGATTGGGAGCGCATTCACATTTCCCGTGTCACAATCAGAATATGTATTACTCTTTGGTTCTTTCGGTAAAGTCGCGTATAAAGAGAAAGTAATAAATTAAATGCTAGCATACGACGTTTCGATTGCAACACAAGCAATCATTATCATCAGGTATAAATGAAATAGAAACACAAATGTAGTTTACTTAGAAATGTAATGTAATACAAGAGAGAGTCGGATAACATAACAGTCAACACCCTACCTGGTTGATTACGTTCTTCCTCTCTCAAATGTAGCATTCTCAGGAAGAACGTAATCAACCAGGTAGGGTGTTGACTGTTATGTTATCCGACTCTCTGTTGTATTACATTACATTTCTATGTATACTAGATTTGTGTTTCTATTTCATTTATACCTGATGATTGCTTGTGTTGCAATCGAAACGTCGTATGCTAGTATTTAATTTATTATTTTCTCTTTATACGCGACTTTACCGAAAGAACCAAAGAGTAATTCATGCAGTCACGAAAGCTCCAAATTAAGTTAGAATATATATTGTATACTGGAGGAATCCGATGAGCTACAAAGCTCTGTTTCACAGGGGTAGGATGAAGCGGGATGCTCACGGTGGCGAGAGACCGGGTGTGGAGACAGGGGTAAGATGAAGCCGGGCAATCGGAGTCATTGCTTCCGGCGGGGGAGAGTAGTGTACCGTGCCATCGCGAGCTTGTAAGGTTTGCTGACCCCGTGCCCATAGCGGACATCTGTTGAAACGGAGCTCCATGGCTCGTCGGATGCCTCCGGCAGACTAAATAAAGATTCCGACCCTGAAAGATTCCGAGGGGTTGTCGTCGGTCACGAGATGCTCAAGTGTACGCCACCTGGGCAGGAAGCGGGTGATGTATTATCTCGGTGAGGCAATAGCTGCAGCAGTTGACGCTTAAGCGCCAATAGCTAACGAACACCTTCACGGGAAGTCTCAGTGGGGGGGATCGATGTACGATGAAAGTGCCCCGACACCCCCACCTCCTTCACCTGTGTCGTATTACTCTGATCATCGCCTCCTCCACGTGCGCTACGCTCCAGAAACCTTGCGTCAAATCCCCTTGGTCGAACTCTGCTGAATGGGAGGGTCGCTCCTTCTCTGATGCTGCTGCTGCCGCCTCTGTCTAGAAACCCCCCTCTTCCCTTCCGCTGTCTGAAACTCCAACGTCGCTCCCCCCTCCCTACCGCCGTTCAAGCCGTGACACGAGACCCTACGATGTATTTTCCCACAGCGATCTCCGTCTCTCTGTCTCTCTGCCGCTATGCCCTGGAGTCTCCCCCCAACCCCCACACCTCCCCCCCCTGACCTTCACCCTCTTCTTCTCGCCTCCAAAAATAACCTCGGGCAAATAACCGAACCGCAACGAGCCCTCCGTGCGTCCCGTGAAAATGGGGTCGTGCCCTAGCGCGCGCGCGTGTCTCGTCGCCGCCCTTCGCAGGGGCTCGTCGAGATGCGGCAGCGTGTTCTCAGACGCTCGCTTCGTCGTCGTCGCGCGCAGCGTCGTACCCGTCCACGCTCGAGGGGGGGGGGGGGGGGGGGCTTACTCTTTGGTTCTTTCGGTAAAGTGACGTATAAAGATAAAGTAATAAATTAAATACTAGCATACGACGTTTCGATTGCAACACAAGCAATCATCATCAGGTATAAATGAAATCTAACCAGAGAACTATAGACAGACATAAGCAGACAGATATCACCAAGATACATAGAGAGAGAGTAACAGAGGCACAGAGAGGGAGATCGTCTCTGTGGGGTGGCCTTAAATAGACAGAGGGGGGGGGGGGGGTGGGGGCGGAGAGAGGGAGGGGTTAAGATCGGGGGGGGGGGGGGTTGTTCGTCTATCGGGTCCCCACTCCGTCTCGACCCGCCGTCTAGACCTCGAACTGCGTCCCGTCGAGTGCCGCCGCTCGTCGCAGTACGACGGAGGACGGCGCAGGTGCACGAGGGCCCGCCTTAGCCACTTGTCGCTGGGCCCTGCCCGTTGGCACCACCCAAGTTCACTCTCATTAGCGGGGGGTTCATCACTGATAATGTGGTTCGGGTTCGCCCCCCCACATAACAGCTCTACTACCCCCCCCCCCCAATCCTCGCCCACCCACCAATTTTAAGAAAAGCTGGAGACAGGCTTGATGTGCGGATATGCACCCAGCCTGGCACGGGCATAGCGATGACGTTGCCAAGAGTATCAGATGCTGCTCGTCAGGATTTTCTGCATGTTAATGAAGGCGTGCCGGTGTTATGTAACTGTGTATTGTGCCATCACAAAAACAAACGTTGCGTGTGCATACTTGTGGTCCTTTTGAAATACGAGTTGTCTGAGTGTGTTTCTTAATCGTCCATACAGTTTCGATTTAAATCTTTCGTGACTGCAGGGATTCATCTTCTTGGTTCTTTCGGTAAAGTCATCACGTAGAAGGGAAAGAATAGAATAGTAAAAATAAAACATAATAAAATCATTCTCACGACGTTTCGGCCACAACGCTAGCAGCCGTCCTCAGGTGAAGAACAGGTCTGTCGGATAGACAGCATCTGAAGTTTTGAGTCTGGTGGTGTAAATGTAGCGCCGGTGAGAAAAGCAAATAGAATGCAGCCGATCTCATTAGGCCTCTGAAACCTAAGCGGGTTTGAGCCTGGGTAGTGTTTGGATGGGTGACCGCTTCCGCGCATAGAGCAGCTGCTGTAGGCTGCCGCATCTGAGTCACGTCGTCAGCAGAGGCCAGTGCGGCGAAAACCCATTGTTGCCGCTGTACTTTGATTCGGTGTCTATGCTCCCCACATTCATGAACTTGCACTGATCGACACGGCGTGGCACGGGGAGGTTCTTACCCAGCAGTGGAATGACAAACGGGGCTGTACGTGTGCGCACGCGTACTAAACCGTCAGTGGGCCAAGTTGCCACGCTGCACGCGCGACGGGGAGAGTGTGCGAGTGTGCGGCAGCGGGGAGAGAGCGTGACCGCGATCGGAAGACTCGCACGGCACGCGGGAGCCCTTGGCCTAGTCGGTGGATTGACCAGAAAGGGCTGAATTTTATTTTTTTATCTTCTTGGTTCTTTCGGTAAAGTCACGTAGAATTGAAATAATAAAATAATAAAAATAAAACATAATAAAATAATTCTCACGACGTTTCGGCCACAACGCAAGCAGCCGTCCTCAGGTGAAGAACAGGTCTGTCGAGGAGTCAGTCTGTCGAAACGTCGTGAGAATTATTTTATTATGTTGTATTTTTATTATTTTATTATTTCCCTTCTACGTGACTTTACCGAAAGAACCAAGAAGATGAATCCCTGCAGTCACGAAAGCTTTAAATCGAAATGTATTTTTTGAGTGAAGTTGGCATCCCCCCCCGCCCCCCCCCCCCCCACCACACGCTTGCCATCTGCGTCCCTTCTTTTGGCAGGGATCGTGACGTGCAACTGGTTTGTGATCATCGGAGTGTGCATCACGCTCACCTGCGTCTTCGACAGCACCGGCAGGACTTTCGTCAAGCTGCAGGCCAGGAAGAGCCGGCAGCGGTCTCTCACGACCTTTAACCTCCGGTGAGAATGTTGATTCTTTCCTCTGGGCCGGGATGGTGGCATGTGGTGTGTGGGGTTGGTGGTCCTATCTCTCCAGCTGTTTTAGCAGCGCCCTGCAAGTCCAGCTGTTTTAGCAACGCCCCGGGAAGTCCAGCTGTTTTAGCAGCGCCCTGCAAGTCCAGCTGTTTTAGCAGCGCCCTGCAAGTCCAGCTGTTTAAGCAGCGCCCTGCAAGTCCAGCTGTTTTAGCAGCGCCCTGCAAGTCCAGCTGTTTTAGCAGCGCCCTGCAAGTCCAGCTGTTTTAGCAGCGCCCTGCAAGTCCAGCTGTTTTAGCAGCGCCCTGCAAGTCCAGCTGTTTTAACAGCGCCCTGCAAGTCCAGCTGTTTTAGCAACGCCCCGGGAAGTCCAGCTGTTTTAGCAGCACCCTGCAAGTCCAGCTGTTTTAGCAGCGCCCTGCAAGTCCAGCTGTTTTAGCAGCGCCCTGCAAGTCCAGCTGTTTTAGCAGCGCACTGCAAGTCCAGCTGTTTTAGCAGCGCCCTGCAAGTCCAGCTGTTTTAGCAGCGCCCTGCAAGTCCAGCTGTTTTAGCAGCGCCCTGCAAGTCCAGCTGTTTTAGCAGCGCCCTGCAAGTCCAGCTGTTTTAGCAGCGCCCTGCAAGTCCAGCTGTTTTAGCAGCGCCCTGCAAGTCCAGCTGTTTTAGCAGCGCCCTGCAAGTCCAGCTGTTTTAGCAACGCCCCGGGAAGTCCAGCTGTTTTAACAGCGCCCTGCAAGTCCAGCTGTTTTAACAGCGCCCTGCAAGTCCAGCTGTTTTAGCAGCGCCCTGCAAGTCCAGCTGTTTTAGCAACGCCCCGGGAAGTCCAGCTGTTTTAACAGCGCCCTGCAAGTCCAGCTGTTTTAACAGCGCCCTGCAAGTCCAGCTGTTTTAACAGCGCCCTGCAAGTCCAGCTGTTTTAACAGCGCCCTGCAAGTCCAGCTGTTTTAACAGCGCCCTGCAAGTCCAGCTGTTTTAGCAGCGCCCTGCAAGTCCAGCTGTTTTAGCAGCGCCCTGCAAGTCCAGCTGTTTTAGCAGCGCCCCGGGAAGTCCCGCAAGCGCGTAGCCAGAAGGCAACTGGGGTGCCGTGTTGAGCGCGGAGCGACTGATTTGTCGATCGCGGTCGGGGTCGGGAAGAAGCCATGGGCCGATGCTGTCACGCCACGCTTCTGCGTTTCCATTGTGAGGCGGATGGGCGCAGTGGTGAGTGTTCCGTTATCCAACGCTGTGGTGTCAGGTGGTTGGTGGATCACGCGGCTTCGCCAAACTGCAAGGTGGCCACGAAGATAGGCAGCATAGCAAATGGGTTATATAATCCCTCTGTGTTTACCTTTTGACTAGTTTCACAATTGATGACAAGGCACGGTGCGATGGTGGCCACGGTAAAACGCGTGTGTGCCATCATCTCAAAGGATTATACTGGGCGAAACATTTCAGTGAACGAATAACAATAACTTTTTTTAAAGGGCTGAGAGTGGCACGAGCTTGCAGTTTCAGAGGCTGTACCTTTCTCCTTTTTACGGCACCTAAGTTTGGAATGACGTTGAAAATCCGGTTTTTATTTTCATTCGACTCGCTCAATGTTTTTCGTAATCCTGGGCGTCTCTATGGACAAGCAAACGTCCGATTTTATTTTATTCATGAAACCCCTGAAGGCGCAGGCAGGTGGGCCGGTGCTGAAACTACCCCCCCCACCCTCCCGCGCTTCCTGGCGACGGTGTCGCAGCACGCGCGATGCGCGCGCGTGACCTCATGCGCCGTCTCCACTCGGCAAGCAAAAGGGAAATAGGCGAAAGACTCCACGCGATCGAAAATGCCACCACAAGACTTCTCGCCCACCCATAAAGACAAAGGTCTCCCATATAACCTGAACAGACTGTTGGGGCAAGTGCCATTTGCGGGTAGCAGCGCCTATGATGGCCGGCACGGCACGCGAGGGGGGAGGGTGGCCAGCACCACGCCTGACCGCCTTTGTATCCCGAGTGGCGATGTTTACACATTGCACCAGGTACACATTTGAGGCTCAGTCGACCTAGGGGAGGCCCAGGACCAGTTCAGATAATCGTCACTGGTGTAAGCCGTGAGCAGGGAATCAAACTCGGGTCGCCAGGTTTTGGAGCACAGTGCGCTAACCACTACACTACCGCTCACCTCAAAATGCCTATGCCAGACTTTTCACTCACCCACACACACAAACGAGTTCACGTTACCCCAATATTCCAATCCCTCCGCCGGCCTCCAATCCATTCCCAGATAAATTTTCAAGATCACACTCACCGTGATCAAAATCTCCCTCTCTCCGTTGCATGTATGTATGTATGCTGAACTTCTCTCGCATCGTACGTAGCCAACCGTGCTAATCGGAGGTGCATGCAGTGTGCACTCCGGTAACGCGCGATGTTGATTCTAAGTGTGGAGGGAAAAAACCGGAGGACCCGGAAAAAACTCCGTGTATGCCCGGCGAGTTGGTTAACATCTCGGCACCATGGCACGGAGGAAAAGCCTGAGAGGATGACGCTACAGTGAGGGAAAAAAGTATTTGATCCCCTGCTGATTTTGTACGTTTGCCCACTGACAAAGAAATGTTTTGCAAAGGGGGTCAAATACTTATTTCCTTCATTAAAATGCAAATCTATTTATAACATTTTTGACGTGCGTTTTCTGGCTTTTTTGTAGTTATTCTGTCTCTCACTGTTCAAATAAACCTACCATTAAAATTATAGAACGATCATTTCTTTGTCAGTGGTAAAACGTACAAAATCAGCAGGGGGTCAAATACTTATTTCCCTCATTAAAATGCAAATCTATTTATAACATTTTTGACGTGCGTTTTCTGGCTTTTTATAGTTATTCTGTCTCTCCCTGTTGAAATAAACCTACCATTAAAATTATAGAACGATCATTTCTTTGTCAGTGGGAAAACGTACAAAATCAGCAGGGAATCAAATACTTTTTTCCCTCACTGTAGGTAGACGAGAGAGAGAGAGAGAGTGGGGCGGTGCGTGTAACCGCACGCACGGCTTGGCGCGTGCTCGTGGCGTGCAGGCATCGGATGGAGGAGGGCCTCACAAACAACTGGGCGCAGAGGCTCAAGCTGTTTATGTGCTGTGCCAGAACCAAGGACACGCAGACCGTAAGTACTCCCCGGGTCTCCTGCCTCTGCCGCGGTCTCACCCCGCTTCGTGATTACGAGGTCCGTCGGACCTTACGTTAAACAGTGGTTTGCTTCATAATCAACGTTTTTGGTAAAATTTTCACGACGTTTCGGCCACAATGCAAGCAACCGTCGTTGTCTTTTTGACAGCCCTGTTCTTTACCTGAGGACGGCTGCTTGCGTTGTGGCCGAAACGTCGTGAGAATTTTATCTTATTGTGTGTTATTTTTATTATTTCCCTTCTACGTGACTTTACCGAAAGAACCAAGAATATGAATCCATGCAGTCACGAAAGCTTTAATTCGAAACGTTTTTGGGTTAGATCGCGTTATATATAAATGTGTCGTAACCCTCCACCACCCGACATGGCCAATCCGTAAAAAAAGTGTCATGTTGACAAAAGACAAAATAGTTCATTACTTCAGCCCACCGGTGTGTTGAAGAGTGAATCCACAACATTTACAATTTTTGAGTACGACGTTTCGCTGGTAATTACATCCAGCATCATCGGGAAATTTGCCAAAATGGTGAAGCCCTCCACTTGCTCCCGGTCTTAAATAGAGCAGCAGCAAGGTCACGTCATCATTTAAGTGGTTTGCTTGCATCATCCCGAGGGTTCTCTGGGCTGACACTGGTGAGACGAGGCCATAAAGAAGGCTGTGTTCTGGTGTAGGCCAATCAGTTTTCAAAAGCGATGCATTTATTATAATCAGAGCATGTTTGTTTTCATGTTCACCACAAGTAGTCTGTGTAGTGAATGCAGACTTGATTACTAGCAAAAAGGTTTCTATTTGGTGTTTGAACATCTAAACACCTGTTTTGTTGGCAGACAGGGCAAACCCTCTTCTTATTTTTTCAGTGTTTGCTCATGCGATAGCGCGCGTTTTTAAGTTGAAAGACACACACAGGATAAGCGGCGGTGCTGGGAGAAACGGCCCGTGAATCCTGCAAGGCTGGGGATGTGTTATGATTATTACTACTACTGCTACTCTTGTTTTACCCAGCAATGCCTCACCGAGTCTCGTGAATTTTTTAAAGAAGGGTCCGCCTCTTCTTGGTTCTTTCGGTAAAGTCACGTAGAATGGAAATCATAAAATAATAAAAATAAAACATAATAAAAGAATATTTCATTTTTATTATTTTATTATTTCCATTCTACGTCACTTTACCGAAAGAACCAAGAAGATGAATCCCTGCAGTCACGAAAGCTTTAAATCGAAATTTAAGGGTTCTCCTGCCAATTGTTCGTTGTTGGGGGGGGGGGGGGCATGGGTGGGGGGGGGGTGCAATGATTGCTGTACGTATAATCCCGATCGAGTAATTTCTGTATGTTTGACAAGGCACGTGGTGATGCATCAATTAATATACACGCTTCGAATTGTGCATGCATGAACCGTTGATTAATTTTTTTAAATATACGTTGCACGTAATTGCTTGACATGCACTCTGCAGACATTCTCCCCTGGTTATATATAACCTAATAAAAAATAAAAAGGTTACATCCACTGTACTACAAGCGATGAGATCAGCTCGTGCGCAGGTGCTAAGTAGGATTGTTATGATTTAAAGCTTTCGTGACTGCAGGGATTCATCTTCTTGGTTCTTTCGGTAAAGTCACGTAGAAGGGAAGTAATAAAATAATAAAAATAAAACATAATAAAACAATTCTCACGACGTTTCGGCCACAACGCAAGCAGCCGTCCTCAGGTGAAAACCAGGTCTGTCGAGGCCTCGACAGACCTGGTTTGTTTCATTATGTTTTATTTTTATTATTTTATTACTTCCCTTCTACGTGACTTTACCGAAAGAACCAAGAAGATTGGATTGTTACATCGCGGAGGGCAGAGGAGCGACGCTCGCAACAACGAGCGAAGCGCCGGGTGGTTAAAACAACAGCAAGTTGGCACATTAGGGGGGCACAGGTGGTGCAAGCATCTGCCGGTCATATTTGTCAGTCAACCCATGGCACCAACTGGGTCTGTTCCGTGACCTTCTGCCAGCAGGCGTTCGATACGTCACGTGGCCTTAAAGCGCGCACAGCCTGGCACAAGCGCCATGGTGATGTCCCCGCCACTTAGTGGCGATTGGCGGTGGCTGTTGTTACATCTCAGGGCCGTGGAAACCGGTGGCTCCTTGGGGAGGGGGGGGGGGTGATGGGGGGGGGGTATAATTCAGCAGTGGATCGATTGTGTCTGATGATTATGATGAAGGACAGTAGAAAGCCCTGGGAACAGAATGAATAATTTGCACCTAAAAGATATGGGGAGTGTGGATGATGCAGATTTGATTATTCGTACCTCAGATGGGGTGCTGCAGGTTTCATCAGTTGATCCTCATGGCGGTTCCCTGGGGTACCAAATTATACAAAATGTCCGAGGCAATTAAATATTTTATTTCTGGGACACTTTTTTTTGTCCAGGGGTTGTTACTTAATTCTGCGACTGGGGTACCAGTCAATCCGAAATCAGTGCCACTCCACGATGTCGAAACGCCAAACATGAACATAAACACTTAACGCTTTCGTGACTACAGGAATTATTATTCTTTGGGTCTTTCGGTAAAGTCACGGTCTGTGAACCTATCTACGTGACTTTACCGGAAGACCCAAATAGTATTAGCATAAAAAATCCGTTATCGAAAATGCCAATTTGAATGGTGCATCGTGTACAGCTCGTTGAGATGCGTCGATTGCCGCATCGCCGACCATCAACAGACTAAAAATACTGACTGCATCATGGAAATGATGCGAGAGCCAGGGTACTTTGGAACCCCGGGGTACCGCCATAAGGTTCAGTTGTTACTCCTGAATCTCTGCAAAGATGTAATTTAATTCACTAAACGTGCGGGAATAGGGCTTTCGCTCTGACCAGGATTAGTGCATGAATATTTGATAACGTCGGGGTCATTGTCGTAGCAAGGGTCAGACACGGCGAGCGTGTCGAAGCTTCTTCTGATCAGCAGTTCCCACTGTCCATCGGCGAGGTACCACGACTCTGCCTCTCCGCTTCCACGCGGCCGTCGCGTGACGCGTTTCCCCCACGGCCCCTGCCCCAGGACGCCTACTCCGAGGTGGCCGTGCTGATGGCCGAGTTTTTCCGGGACTTGGACATCGTTCCGTCGGACATCATCGCCGGCTTGGTGCTCATGCGGCAGCAGCAAAGGGCTCGGAGAAACGCGGTGCTGGATGAGGTGAGTGTGGGCTCACATTCACAATTCATACGGCTCTTACCACTGGCACATCCGAGCTGAGCCGGCACTGGGCCTTCACGGTGCGGGTAGGTTTTTTTTTCCATACTCTTTGATTTTTTCGGTAAAGTCACGCAGGCAAAAAAGGAAATAAATAAATTAATCTCACGACGTTTCGGGCGCAACACAAGCGTCCTTCTTCAGGTGGGGACAACGTAGCGAAAGCACAAATGCTTAAGTGTGTCTCGGAGATGGCTGTGACGAGGGATTATATAGTCGCGGGGCCTGGAGGTTTTTTTTTTTCCCACTGGCAATTTACCGTGTCCAGCCGGAACCAAACCGTTATTACGCTTGGCCTCGCGAGACATTAGAATCTGACTCTGGGGGAGGGGGGCGGTGGGGTGGAGGTAACCAGGTTCCAGGGGCAAAGCTTGTAAATTTCGTCATACGTTGTACGTATATGTACGTATGTTGAACTTCTTTCGCACCGTGCGTAGCCAACCGTGCTCATCGGAGGTGTGGGGGGAAGGACAACAAACTTAGCCGCAAAAAGCGCTTCTAAAGAAATTAGTTTGTCAATCTGGATGATTTAAAAGTGCATTGCTGCAGTCGCTTCCTAATATCGGAACGAAGAGCGTTCCAGACGGCCGCACAAGTGCACCCGAAAGCGCTGCGTTGACACGAGACCCGACTCGCTCACGGTGCACGACAACGAGTGGCACGGCTCGGGTTCTTCAGTGGAAAAACAAAGCGGGCCTTCTCCTGAGCCATGTCTCGCTTGCTCAGTGCAGCTCCGGTGCCGTTTGTTCCTGCAGTGGATGATGTTATTGATTTTCACCTAGGTGTATTTTTTTTTGCCCTGTTTCTAATCTTGTATTTGTCCTTCGTGTTAGAAGGGTGTGATATATTCTTGTTTGTGACATTTGGTCGTATTTCCTGATCAATCCTCTAAGTGGGGTGCGTTCCCCTGAATTGTTTGGGCTAATGCCATTATTATGTCTGAATAAAATCAACTTGGGGAATTTGTTTTTTCTAAACAAACAAATCCAGAGGCAATTATCCTCCCAGCTGAACAGCGTGACCGTCTGGAAGATCAGTTTTTGTGTTCTATCGGGTACGAGCCAAATAAGTCACCTTGACAAGGGAGACTTCAGATTAAATATTAGAAGTGACACAACATGGGAGGGAAACAAAACTGATGTCAAATATTTTAAGTGAAAACAACGAATTTTAGAAAACCGGGGAAAACAAAATTGAAAAGGAAATCCAAGCTCCAGGACTCTTCCCAATATCAAATCTCTGTGCAAGGAGTGGGTTCACCGCGATTTTCAAGCTTGCGTTATACACTCATTGAATTGCGTTTGTAAGAATCGCGTTTTTTGTGCGTGTACAATTCACGTAATGTGTTTAATACGTGACCTCTGCAGCAACACACTCGTGGCAATCGCGTTCGCTGAAATTTAAAACAAATAAAATGAAAACGTGTTTTTGAATCAGATCACGATCGTGAATCGTGTCAAGTCATCAAATCGGTAAATTAATCGATAGAGCTTGAATCGTTTATATTTGTTTGTATGCTGAACGTCTTTCGCGCCGTACGTAGCCAAGTGTGTTGATCGGCTCGGCTTTGGCCACGTAACAATTTGACCAAATTTGTGACCTTTAAAAGCCCTCCTCGACCCTACACAGCCAACCAAACAAATTTTATTCTCATGCGTACAAGCGTTTAACAAATGCGCAAACATTTTTTTGTTCCCGCTCATCCATAACGGTGAGTTGAAGAACGATCTTCACAACCAAATCTGGCGACAAGACCTGACGCTTCGTTTGAAACTGCGTCATGTGTCAGCGGGACAAGCTCCGAAACATCAAGAGTCCACAGTCCAGAGTAACAGGGCAGAATGTGTTTGAGTATTGGGCTCTAAACCGTTAGCGGAGCAAGTTACAAAGTGTGTGGTGCGATATGGCGTGGAGTTGGCACAGAAGTGTGTTCAGGCATGGGTTTCCTCACTCGTGATGTCTAACCATCGCTGCTGTCTCTTCTCCTTGTGTTGTTGATCTATAGGCAAACAATGACATCCTGGCCTTCTTGTCTGGAATTCCCATCGCACGGAAGACTGAGTATCTGGACCTCAAAAATTCTGTAAGCAGCGCACTCCATTTTATTTATTCTCAATCCATCATTTGTCACACGTTTTAGCGAGATGAGAGCCCAATAGATATTTTTGTTTGTACAGATGCACCGAGGAATCGTTAGTTGGCTTTAAAAAAAAAAGAATTTAAAACTATTTTGTCAATTTTCATGCTGCTTTAACAAATTGCAAGTCCGTGTCGGTCATGGTGGTTGGTTGAGCACACTTCACCGTTCTGGTGAATGCTGGTTGGTGAAGATGGCGTGCACGAGACCAGTTCAGACACCACTTGCCACCGATGTTAGCCGTGGCCGGGAATCAATCTCAAGTCGCCGGGTTCATAACACAGTGCGTTAACCGCTGCACCACCACTCGGGTACAAATCATTGTCCCCGACTGGCAGGCCAAGTGCCGAGTCACCTTGGGCCACACAGGGACAGCTGCCACTGGGGGGGAAGGGGGCGGGTGGCTCACCATAATTGTCGAGATGATTTCTGTGATGCAAGTCGCGTCCAACGCGCTCTCCGAGACGCTCCGGTTTAAAAGAGCATGCCGTCAATAACGGAAACATTATCATTGTCATCGTTATAATGTGAAAAGTTATGCAAACTGGCTTCTGAGTCCAGCACCCGATGACCTGCGTTAGTGGCGATGTGTCGTGATCACTCGGCAACCGAGCTGCACTGCCTTGATCCCCCAACGACTTGCATCAGACTTGGCAGGCGCTCTGCATTTTTTTTGTTATTTCACGCACTGAGATCACTTTAGCACTTGGGTCACCCTCCTGTCTGCCGATGCAATATTTACGTTTGTATTGAACATGCACGCCCATCATGACAGTAACAAATAACAGCCTCCGTAGCCCGGCTGTAAAATGTGTTGGCATGATGCCCTATACGTCTGAAGGGTAAAGGAATTCTCAATAATAGTTGTAGTGGTAGTGGCAAATCCGTGCACGTTCAGCCCTCTCATCAATCCAGTGCCGGATGAGGGCCTCTCTCACGCTCTGCGGGGTCATGTTGGTTATTTTCCGGAACTTCAACCCTGGTCAGTGTGCGGGTTGGTGAATGTGCGGTAAAACGTCGCGTACAAGTACAACACAACAACGAACGTTGCTGCGCCGCCCGTCCTGCCCACCCTCCCGCCTGCAGTTGGACACCTATACCCACAAGCCCCGTGGCAACCCACAAGCCCCGTGGTGTGCTTCCATCCGAGCCTCGATCTATGCTCAACCCCAGCTTAGAATTTGGAGGTCTGACGAAGATCGCTCACATTCCGGGTGACTTGGCAATGGTTTGTTTAACTGTCTGGAAAAAAAGCTTTGCCGCACCGCGATGTTGCATTTGTTTTGTCAAGCCCTTTCTTAAAGCGGCGTTTTTGTTTTGTGCGGGGGTTCGCACGCTGTGACGTCTTTTAATATTGTGCTTTGTGTAGGTCGTGAATAGCCCGGGTGAAGGTTTATCTTCTCTCTCGATTTCGCTCGTAATTAATTTTCTTTGGTCAGTCAAGTTGGCTTCAGTTTGGCATGGAGGAGTGGGCCCTCTATTCAGAATAAGAATATTTATTTATACTGGAGGAATCTGATGAGCTAGAAAGCTCTTTTTCACAGATGTCCAGTATGGTCGGGTAAGAGCGTTACAACAACAAACAGTACAAAAGCATGATAGTGGTGCAATGTATAAGAAAGGTAAACGCATCACCCAAACACATACAAATAAATCGAAACCATCCCCATCCTACAAGGCAAAGCCCACTGAGGTATGAACTTATTTTTCAGAAACGACTTGGCCACAAATGATAGCTCAACAAAGTGGCCCATGATATGGACATTTGTAGCATCAAAATAATCCAAATAATCTTAATATTAGTGGAAAACATTCATCAAGCAGTGGATAGATAATGGCTGATGATGATGGCGATGGTGCATTTTTTTATCATTTTCTCAAGTAGAATACATATTTTGGAAGGATGTCTACATTTTACTTTGTCTTATAAATGTTCTTAAAATATTTTAATCTCATGATTGGCACTTGTTCAGACGAAACAAAAGCCATAATTGCAAACCCAGCGATTGTCACACAGCTGATATATTCTTAATTGCTGTGGTGATATGGCATTGTGTGCCACGGTACAGACTTAAGTACCTAATCCCTATTTTGGGTCTTTGGGTAAAGCCACGTAGATAGATCAAAGAATACAAAATAATAATAAAAATAATAACAATATTACGACGTTTCGATCGCAACACAAGCAATCGTCATCAGGTGAGAAATATCGCGGGTGAGCTGCTGAGAATATACCTGATCCTTTTGCTTGTCGCAACTTCACGTGGAAAGGGTGGCTTGCGCTAAATGATATTCGCGCGCGGTGAGGGAATGAGATAAGCGGACAATACCTTTCATTCTTATATCTGTCCCTCCACGTAAAATAAAAAAAAACATGGGTGTTTTTTTCTAAAGACAACCCATCGGCCCACCACGGCCTTCTGGGAGTGCATCATTTCAGCAGCGTTGATTCACTCGGTAGCCAAGCCAGAACGTCACGCCATGTGCATTCCCCGTGCACCGCGTACGCTTGCGTACACACCGTGTACCGTGCTTGCGTATGCGGCGTGCACAGCGTGCATGCCGCGTACGCTTGCGTACACACCGTGCACCGTGCTTGCATATGCAGCGTGCACAGCGTGCGCTGTGTAACTTCAGCACGTGTCATTTTTGCAAGCAATTTCAATAAACCGTAAATAATCGATTCTCGCAACTTCATCAAAGTATCGCGTGCGTAATAATAATTGTTTTCAATCGATGAAACGTGCACTCTACACACTCCGTTGATTTTGAAAAACGTACATTAAGCCTTTAACTTGACTACGTCGCTCGATTTCTGAAACTGCCCGAGGTTGTTCCACGTTGTTTCCAGTTTTCTATTCTGTGCTGCGTTCCGTGTTGGATAAGCGACACTTTGCAACTCTCATTATATGAAAACACTTCCTTTGACGAGGTAGACAATTACATTTGTTATTTTAAAAAAAAAAATCGCTCACCCAATTGAGATCCAATTAACGCGACTGCCATTCTGCGCCCGTGACGTGAAGTGGGTTAACATAGGTAGGAGGGGGCTGTACATTATTTAAGAAGAGGGTAACAATGATTCCCGTACAGCCCATCAATGCGGGACGGATCCCTGCAACTTAAGGGCACAACGACCTTTGATTTTTATTTCAATGCAAAGTGTAGCGGCAGTCTGACACAGGCTGCCACACAACGCGAGATGGAAGTGGAATCACGACTGGAACTCTTCAAGGGAGGCCTCACGAAATTCTCGAGTGCCGCGGTGGCGAGATATTAACTACATCGTCTGGTATACTGGAGGTTGTGGGTTCGATCCCGACCCTGACAATGGCTGTATATTTGGAGTCTGCGTGTCTCTCTCCCCGTGGTGGCGTGGATTTTTCTCTGGGACCTCCGGTTTTTCCCTCCACATTTACAATCAACATGCGTTTAGAGTATTTGGCTGCTATAAATTTTCATGTAATAAGCCACTTTGTTGAGCTATCATTTGTGGCCAGGTCGCTTCTAAAAAAGAGCTACATAGCTCAGTGGGCCTTACCTGGTAAAAAAAATTATAATCGATCTGTTACTCACAATCGAATGGAGCTGAATGGACTGAATGGGCCCCGTCTCGTTTGCAGCCTTGTTCTTACGTGTTTTTGAATGACAATAATTTTTATTTTTCTCATGCAAAATGGCCTGGCAGATATTTCTACACGTTGGCTATCGAGCTCTCAGTCGCGTTTTTGTGTTTTTTGTAAAAGAATCCTAATTTTTGACAAGGGGAGGGGCGTGCCACGGTGGTTAGCGCGCGCTGCGCTGTGGGACCGGGTGATCCCGAGTTTGATTCCCTCATCATCATACATCGCTCATGGTCGTCGGCATCCCCCTCACCAACCCTCACTGACCCACGTGGTGAAGTATGCTAAAACGACTCCCCCCCCCTTAACCAAGACGGCATGAGGTAACCTTCATCCAGCAGTGGATTGACGAAGGGCTGTATATTATTATAAAACATAAATGTATTTCCTCCTTTATCCAGTGGTGGATTGATCGTGGCTGATGATAATGGTGATGAAAGTTCTCGGCAAGAAATCCTATGTAATGCGTCTGGTGTTTTCCTTCCCTCATCTTAAATTAATTTCCTGAGGTGTTAATACACGCTAAATATTGTAAGGCTGAAGTTAATGTTATTTTACCTGTTTTAGCTTAAATTGTATGTATTAGCAAACTTAGGTGAAATGGGATTCTATTGGATGGTGTTAATGTCTCAAGATTATTGTGCTTGAACTTGTAAACCGATTCCTCAGCGCATGGTGATGTAACGCCATCTGCGAACAAATGTTTAATTTTTTAAAATTAGAATCCGCATCTTTATTTATCCTGGAGAAATCCGATGAGCCATGAAGCTCTTTTTCACAGATGTCCAGTAGGTTAACGAGTGATGTTTGAAATCACATTCTCTACATGACGACGTAAGTTGAACTTCTTTCGCACCGCCGCACGTAGCCGACCGTGCTAAACAATGAGAACTACGAACCAATGGAGAGAAACCTTTCTCAATTCAAGTGGGCCATGTTTTGATGCGTCGTCTTCTGAGGCCCCCAAACGGTTAATTATCCCACGGGTTCAGCTTGTCAGTTTGACCTTTTAAAAGTTCAACGTCAGCCCGTCGCTGCTGCTCGTATTGATGTGGTCCTTTTTATCAATTGACAATTTTTTTAATCGCCCGTTCCTGGGCTCGTTTCAATCAGGCGCTGTGCAGCGTGTAACAGATACGGCGCACTTATTTATTAATTAATCGCCGTAAATTCTATTGAATTATTCCAGGAGCATAGCGATACTCTCCCTTCCCGGGGATTTTGAGTGGCGACATTATAAAAGGCGGATTCACTGTGCGTGGTCAGTGAAATTACCATGTTGATTGCGGTCGATGAGTAACGTGTGCACATCGGTTAGCACGGTTGGCTACGTACGGTGCAAAAGAAGTTCAACACACATACACGCATGCGTACGTACAGAAGGCCGTCTCGCGTAGGCCAATTAGTTTCAAAGACAACGCGTATATAATTATCAGAGCATGTTTGTTTGCATGTTTTGCCACAAGTGCGTGCGGTTAATGCAGACTTAATTCCTTGCAGTAGGTGTCTATTTGGTGTTTGAACATCTCAACACCTCTTTTATTTCCAGAAAGATTAACGCCTATTATTATTTTTTGTATTATCTTGATACTTGGAAAAAAGGTCCGAAAGATATCCATATATACGTGAGAATACATGCATATTCAATAGTGTGTGAATATTCATGAGCGTACAGCATTATACGATAACGAAATATCGTGAAGCATGTGATGTTCGCACGGAATCGATTTTCCTCGTGACGACGATGATGCCGGTCTTCTGTCCGAGCTGGATTTTTTTCTCTCCATGTTCTTGTGGTATAATGTTTCTGAAGCGTTAATAGGACACTTTGCAGTTTTGGTATGTTTTGAAACAGAAGAATAACTTAATTGATATGATAATCGTGGCCTTCATGAAGCCGTTTTTTTTCATGGTGAGTGAATCGTACAATTTCGTTTTAAAATGGTGCACTTGGGTGGCACACGGGTCTCGGTAATACACGAAGAGGCTGGAGGGACGGTCATTAATTGTAGGCAGCTGAAACCTTGCCACTGTTGCAGAGTAGCCCCCCCCCCCCCCCTGTAGGTTCTCCTCTCCATGTCATTGCATGGCAGTGGCGGCAGGAACTAGACATGGCAGCGATAGAAACTAATGGACCAGAAGCGTCAAATTAAGTGAGGGCAGTATGAAACAGCAGACTGTTCCATGAGGCTCCAGGATAGGCACCTGTCTGCAGGCATTGTCGTGCTGTTTGCAAGCTGCCTTGCTTCTCGGTGTTCAGGAGTTGCATTAGCTGTAGGGGCAGACATTGCAGCACATGCAGCGTGCCGTGTTGCTTCTTGGTGAGTTTAATTAGCTGTAGGTGCAGGCATTGCGGCACTTGTAGAAATGGCATCAATTAGCGTTATCGGCTTTGGTGAAGATAAGTGCAGTTTTTCCGTGATGTGTGTAGGTAAAAGTCCGTAAGAAGGAATTGTAAATAGCGAGTGTGAGAGTGAATCACCGTGTAGGGAATGTTCATTAAATATTTTATAGGTGAATTTGTAAGCGTTGTTGGCACGTGAAAACGAAGCCACACAGGAGTGAAGCATAAGGCTGGAAGTTATTGGAGGGTGTTATTGTTTGTCGTGATTGAAGCAATTATCAAGAGTGTGTGAGCGGTGGTGTGTGCACATCTATAATTACGTGAACGTGAGCGTGTGTACATGTGCATGCGTTTTTTCTGCTTACCAGGCGATGTAGACTTGACGTGTATGTATAACATGTAGGCTTTCGCGACCAATATTAATCATAATATAACCCAAATACCTTTATCATGAATGTGCTCAAATTGTTAATGTTGTGGATTTACTCTCCAACACACCGGTGGTCTCAAGTAGTATACTACGCTATACACTACACTTTACATTATACTAGTAACTAATTGGCGTGTTGTTTACGTGACAAACCTCACTGGCTGTGGAGGGTGACGACACATTTATACTTACGCGATCTACTCCAAACACCTTTATTGTGAATCGATGTACGTAGTCGTAGCTTTTGCGTAGCGTCTGTGTTTTGTAGAAGGAGGTAGGTGGTGCTGGTACGTAGATGTTTTATAAGAGTAGATGTATTGTGTGAATATTGCAGTGCGTGTTGGAGGTGAGCTGTGCACGTGCAGGAATCGCAGTAAACGGCGGTAGTGGGTGAATTTGGCTGGATAAACGCGGGCCTGATAATAGCGGAGGATAATGTGCAGCGGCGTGGGGGAGGGGGGGTAGGTGTAGTGTGCAGGTGTTACAGGTGTTGCAGGTGAGCCGGGAAGGTAAAACACACTCATCCGTGAGTATGCACGGAAACTTTGGGGTGTGTAGGATTCATGGTTTTGGCACAATTTGGTTCACACACACACACACGCAAAGTCTGCGTTATAAAGATTGCTGAAAATCGTTTTTGTTCTTCCAGAATGTCATGAGCATGTACAAGGACGTGTGCTACTACATGCACTACGCGCTGGCTGCGTATGGGTGGCCCATGTACCTCATCAGGAAGCCGGCTTGCGGACTCTGCAAGCTCATGGCCAACTTTTCGTGAGTACTGCGCTTCGCTGGCGCCAGCGTTGGCCCCTTGCTGTGCTCTCGCGTTGCACCGAAGGCTCATGGTAGAACCCGGCGTAGTGGCGTCACTCAAAATCCGCTTCGGGACACCAAAGGGGTCTCGAACTGTTGCAGCAGTCGGGGAGCACAGGTGGTGGGCAGGTAGGGCACGTAGGCACGGGTGGTGGGCAGGGGGGGCACGGAGACACGGCAGAGGTCGCAACCGGGTACGCGATACCCATACCCTACCCGATACCCGGCTACCCGTACCCGGCCGGGTATGGGTACGGGTAGCCGTTTGCGACCCTGGTGCGGCCGGGTACGGGTACGGGTAGGCCGTGAGTCACTGGTGAGTAACTGTTTGTCACTCATTTCGGGTAGGGTACGGGTACCCATTTGCGACCCTGGTGCGGCCGGGTACGGGTAAGGAATCAAAACCCGTTTGCGACCTCTGAGACACGGGTGGTGGGCAGGGGGGGCACGTAGGCACAGGTGGTGGGCAGGTGGTGCATCTCAGTCAGTCATCCCAAAACACTCGGCTCTGTCCCCGTGACCTTTCCGCTGCCGGCAGTGGCGAGCCTTCAACACTTCACGCGGCCTCAAAGCGCCTCCTACCCTGACGCAAGCGCCGCGGTGACATTGCCTCCGCTCGGTGGCGAAGGACAGCAGCGGCGGCAAGCTGTTGTTGTTGTTGTCGCTGCTGCTGCGCCGTGTGAACCGCGTCAGGTGCTGCTGCCTGGGCTACTGCGTGCGGAGGCACCGATTCTCTCCCAGCCTCACGGTGCAGGACGACAACTGCTGCCAGTGCAACGTGGCCGCGATCCGCCGCCACTTCCTGGATGAGGGCCTCTCGGGGGTGGAGATCGTCTTCGCCTCCATCCACGACGCGGTGAGAGCGCCGCGGCGGCGCCGGTCGCACGGCCCGTGCGCGAGCCTCGTACGCACGCGTGTAGAACTTTTTTTGCACCGCATGAAGACAAACACGCTAATCGGAGGTGTGCGGGGGGGTGGGGGGAAGGAAGACAAACTGATCGCTAAAAGCAGTTTGAAAGAAATAAATTTTCAATCTAGATTTTAAAAAGCATAGCTCTAGCGGGCTTGCTAATATCGCAAGGAAGAGCGTTCCAGACGGCCGCAGAAGCGGTCCGGTAGTCTAAGATCAGCATGCAATTAGCTTTGCCTTTTATTTGGCTATGTTGAAGTGCAACATTTGCATATTTCATCCACAGATTTTATCTACATATGTGAAGTTGAACGTGTTATTTTCACGTCTTTTCTATTGCGAGTTTTAACAAATGCATTGTATTATAGTGTTTGTATGTACGTATGTATGTATGTTGAACTTCTTTGGCACCATACGTAGCCAACCGCGCTAATCGGAGGTGTGGGGGGGAAGGATTACAAATTAAACACAAAAAATCAGCTCGAAAGAAATTAGTTTTCCATGACATTTAAACGTGCATAGCTTCCTAATATCGGAAGGAAGAGCGTTCCAAACGGCCGCAGAAGCGCATCTGAAAGCACAGCGCGATGCGGTAACCGTCTTTGCAGAGATGTATATTGAACTTCTTTCGCACTGTACGTAGCCAACCGCACTAATCTGATCCTCGCCCGCACGGATGTGTTTAACGCGAGTTGACACGGCGCACTCTTGCCGACGAGGCTATCGTACCGTGGCTCTTTGAGTTCTTCACCGGGTGAAACACGCCAGTGTGAATCTGTTGCTCTATCGTTACTCTCTCTGGACAATGGGATATCGTCGGTGGACGGGTACACGATGCTGTTGGGCGTCATCTCTCGCTTGACAAGAGTGGCTCGCGTGGAAGCTGCCATTATCCACTCCAGAAAATAAGCCAAAGCTGAGGTCGAATCATTTCATTCGTCAGTCTGTCTGACTTGGCGTCACGAAGATGAGTCGGTATGAATACAATTTCAGCGCAAAGTTTTTTGTTGCTTTTTTGGGACCTGCCCTGTAGAATTCCGGCCTAAATTGATCGAAGGGTCGACAAAAACCTGGTGATAAATAAAAAATAAAAGGAACCTAACGCTGAAATGGGCTTAGCCACTGCCCAAGGCGTTGCGTGCCGTGCGTGCGTTGCATCCCCGGACGCCGTCTCGCGTCTTCGTGCGTCTTCGCGCGTCACGCGCCCCGTCCGACGTCACCTCGTTGCGCCGGCTCGGACGTTATCGTTATTGGCCGCTTGATCGTAAGCGCTCCCGAGGTCAAACACACTTCTTGGAATTCGTGCAATCAGCGTGGTTCACCTTCATCGTCGCTCGTTTCAAACGGCTTTCAGCCAGGCCAGTGCACCACGTTGTCATTCGTTTTTCACGGGCTTGCCATTCGTGGCACGACAGTGGGTATTTGTGAGGGTGTCTGAAATCTGTTGATTTGTTTCCACTGCACCCGTTGTTAATCATTTGAAAGCAATTCTGATTTCAGCCACGTAAGGGAGGTCTGAGTGCCACGAATTTCCATTCACACTGCACCTCGTCCAGAGCAACCGCCAAGCGCGTATTGCCACTCGGTACAAAGAGAAGCAGCAGGTTACCCCTCCGCCTTAAGATCTTGGATTATATAATAAATAATGAAACCCAGAGACACTGTGGGGTGGAGGATAACGGGGTAGGTAAATACAGGAGGGATTAATGGTTATTTTTAGACGTACAGGCTCGTTGAGCTATGACAGCTGAAGCACTGGTCTTCTTCACTTAATATTGATTGCGCGTCCTGTGTTTATATATATGTAGTGACATAGGCCGTCACTACTGTGTCGGCCCGTACGAGGGCTGGGGGCCCCAAAGGGGTGCCTGGGGGGTCACGTGGTGGAGGGACCCAGACCTTCCCAGAGGTGGGGGAAGGGAGGCGTGGCCTGGGAAGGGAGGCGTGGCCTGGGAAGGGGATATAAGCGGGGTGTGGATGCAGAGCGGGGCTGTTGAACTCCGAAGTGAGGACGACATCATCGGTCCTCAAGTCCCGGGTCGTCGTCCTGGACCAGGCAGCCCGTCGCCTGCCTGGTCCCCTCTGTGTCGTGTTCCAGAGTGTTAGTGAGTTGAGGAAGGTGGTCACCACCTCATGTACAGTGTTATATTACTTACCGTTTAATAAATAGTGTTGCCTCCAAGCTGTGTGTGTGTGTGTGCACCTAATTCGAACCCACTACATATATATACACTGAGTTGTCAAATGGCTGGTCTGCGCTGTCCCATAAACCACGCTCGCTCTATGCTTGGCTTCAGCAATTACAGCGTGCAGCTTGTGAATACGCGTGTTCCTGTGATTTGGTTGAAATGGGAAATGCAAATCTGTCCGACGAACCAAATCGTACTTGCGCCTTTAGAGCACGGGTGGAATTTAGGATTTTCTGTTCGTAAACGGAGCAGATCGATGAACTCGTTGTCCAAAAATGGGTTTTTTTATGACGGAATAATCGTGGTAGTATTTTTCTTTCAAAGGAATTTACTTCAAATTGAATCTCTCAAATTTGACTCGTTATTTTCCAAAGAGCGTTTTGCACGTCGGAGAAGAGCTGAGTGCCCGGAGAAAACGCACGCACGCACAAGGAGATCACACCTCTTTTTGTTTTCTTTCAAGTTTATTTTGAACCGCAGAGCCGTTATTAATCTTTTTTTTTTTTGCAGCTGAAAGTTGGTTTCGCGGCCTAGAAAAATCCGAAACCCACTTCAACAAATTCCGCGCTCGGCTTCTTGCTGGGAATTTGTTCCCTTTACCATTCCGAGCGGTAGTGTAGCGGTTAGCGCTGCGCTGCGCTACGAACCTGGCGACCCAAGTTCGATTCTCACTCACGGTACCCAGTGACGATTATCTGAACCGGTCCTGGGCCTCGCCTAGGAAATGAGTACCTGGTGCGCCACTGGGGAGACAAAGGCGGCCGAGCGTGGTGCTGGCTACCCACCCCCTCGTGTGCTGTGCCGGCCTTCATAGGTGCTCGCTAATAGCACTTGCCCCACTATAGTCTGAATGAAAACGTTATAGAAAGTGACCCCCCCCCCCCAGATGTGGGGGTAAAAAGTTGATTCAACAAGTTTCCAAAAATTGTCGACCATCCCCCAAAAAAGACATTTCTACCGACACACCCTACATACAATAGTCATAGTATCTGCAGACGTTGGGGGGGGGAGAATAGTGCATCAGTGGGGGCGACAGGCGAAGCACGAAGCGCCGAGAAGCCCCCCGCGGGAGCGATAACAAGGCGGCCGTAGGCCACCGAAACTCGAGCGTGTTTCTCAATGTGGAGGGTGAAAAAGCAGAGGACCTGGAGAAGAATCAACAGGTAGAACATGCATATACAGCAGGCGTCAGGGTCGGGAATCGAGCTGACGACCTCCCGTATACCAGGCGAGGGAGATAACATCTCCAAGCCACCGCGGCGCCCCACCCTGGTGGAGAGAGAGGTAGAGGCAAGGACCGTGTTTGATCACAGTTGCTTATTTAAACACGGTGTTGTAAAAAGCTCATGCATTGAGTTGCACAAATGCGTGTGTGTTGCACAGTCGCATCCCCGCTGCACGATCAAAATCGTGAAATTCAACTTCAAGCCAAGCAGACTTGAGCCAGATTAGCACTCGGATGGAAGGCTGCTCAGTAATCTACCCGGCGTTGTAGGTTTCGAAACGTGAGGTGGCCCACTTGACGGCAGTCCTGCAATGACTTCTGGGATCGTGCGTGCGGTCGTAGATTTCCTCTCCGCTTGCTCTCTCCCTCGGTTTCGCTGCCCGCGCGCGGCCCGGTGACCGATGAGTGCATTCCGTCAGACACCAATGCCCGTTGCAGGGCCCTCCCGAGTACGAGTCGCGAGGCTAGGCGAGGGTCTCTTCAGTGCCGGATTAAGCTAGTGCGCGGGACCTGTAGCCTATGTTATAAAGGGGCCCAAATAAAAAAAAAACGTAAATATGAAAACACATCATTTTTTTTACTTGCGTAGTAAAGTAATTTTATGTTTTCATTTTCTATACAGCCAGATGATACGACAAATCGCTAACCTTAAACACCCAGTCGTTCGTAAGAGTCGAAGGCGGTACAGTACTATAGTAATAGAGCAAGTGCAGAATCACTGAACCGGAATTGATAGCTTGAAAGCATTTAGCGCGGGGCCCTTGAAAGTGCGAGGGGACCCGTAGCATATGGTGTTACTTTTGCTACTAGGGTAATCCGGCACTGGGTCTCCCGTGTCAAAAAAGAAAGGGACGTTGCTATCGCTCGTGAAGGTGCACTCGGCGGTTGTCTTATTTGAGGGAGTTAAAGTACGTTGTTTTTTGCACGTCGGATGCGCGCGCACTTAGAACCGCACGGGAAATCGGATCGATGAGAGAGGGGAGATGGGGAGGGGGGCGCGCGGAGGGAAAACGATCGGAGAGAACTTGCCAGCGGCGGCCCTTGCGTTTCGGGACACGTTGGTTTCTCAAGGAGGCGCGAGAGATCATTCACAGAGTTATAGAGGTGTTGTGTAAGGCCCTTTGCCAGTGACAAGTGAAAAGATGGGCAAAACGAGAGCGTAGGACCGAAATAGTCTTTTGTTCTGTGGGAGACGGAGCCTTTTGGCAAACAGAATCCGCGATGGTGGCATTCCCTTCCTCCTCACTCCACTTTTTTTAAAATGGCATCTTAGAACTCCCGTGGTTTTTTTTTTGTTACTACATGGAGGCTTTCTCCGTAACTTAAGCTTCATGTAAAGCGCTTTGAGGCCCTGCGCGAATTGCGCTGTAGAAAATCGAGTTGATGATAATTATCAAAATATTCTCAAGAGATGGCCCTGGAGTGCCATCCAATTGGAGGTGCTTTCCGTCAGCGTTGCTGCGCGCAAGCGATTGCAAGCCTGCGCCTTTACGTCTGCTGGGCCAATTGAATGCAACACGTGAGTTGGTTACAACAAAAATGTATTCAAGGTTACTCACAATCAGTTTAACACGTAGGCTTTCGCGACCAATATTATTCATAATCAACGTTTTTGGGTTTAGATCGCGTTATTTATAAATGTGTCGTAACCCTCGACCACCCGACACGGCCAATCAGTAAAAAAAGTGTCACGTTGACAAAAGACAAATAGTTCACTGCTTTAGCCCACCGGTGTGTTGAAGCGTGAAACCACAACATTTACAATTTGAGTACGACGTTTCGCTGGAAATTGCATCCAGCATCATTGGGCAATTCGCCACATTTATAAATAACGTTACTCACCATGGTGGTGAGATGTTAACTATCTCACCTCATATACAGGAAGTCGTGGAGTTCCATCCAGACCCTGACGCCTGCTGTATATTTGGAGTTTGCGTGTCGTCTCTGTCTCTCCCCGTGGTCGCGTGGATTTTTCTGCGGGTTTTCTGGTTTTTCCCTCCACATTTAGCTTCAACATCACGCGTTTAGAGTTATTTGGCTGCTATAAATTTCTACGCGATAAGCCACTTCGTTGAGCCATCAATTGTGAGACCCAGGTCGCTTCTCAAAAAGGAGCTATGGAGCTCCGTGGGCCTTTCCTGGAAAAAGAAAACAAATAGTTTAGAGATTAGTTTTAATAGTTTAAGGAATAGACATACCAGACGATGTGCAGCACATGTACGCAGCTCCTTCCTCGACGGCTCCAGCCAATCATAGCATAAGACAAAAAAATACAAGTCTACAGCTACAAAGGACTTGCATTTTACATGAAAACGGGTTTTTTAATGTAATTAAAATTTTACATGAACATTTAAACAGCAGAAATTGGAACCCTCATCTCCGAAATTGGCTTTCAAGGTGAACGGCATAATGCCTATTTAAATCAGTGCTGCTATCGCGTGTGGTTTTAACTAATTCATGATTATGTACTCGGCCACAATGCACGGGCTTGCACTTTGACGCGTGCGCGCGCGTGTGTGTGCGCGTGTGTCTAATTCGGCGGGGAGCGGTCGTGCAGCGGTTATCAGCGGCCACACGGGTTCAATTCCCGCTCACGGCGCGCGCCGGTGACGATTATCTGAACCGGTCAATGGCTTCCCCGACGTTGACTCGGCCTCAAATGGGTAACCGGTGCGGTGCGTAAACATCGCCGCGAGGGAGACAAAGGCGACCGGGCGTGTTGCTGGCCACCCCCACCCCCTTTGTGTTCTGTGCCAGCCTTAATAGGTGCAACTCGCTGAGAGCACTTGCCTCCAACAGTCTGTTAAGGATACACGGGGGATCTTTGTCTAATTAGGGAGCCGCGTGCAAAGCGCGCCGTGTTTCTGGGTGACGAGCAGAGACACGTAGGGGAGCGTGATGGGGCACAGCGGGGGAGCAATGGTGCAGTGGTTAACGCACGGCACCACGAACCCGGCGTGCCCGAGCTTGACTCCCGCTCACAGCCAACTTCGGTGACGAATATCTGGGCCTCCCCGAGGTCGACTCGACCTGAAACGGGTGCCTGGTGCGATGTATCAACATCAGGGCTCGCGACCGGCTGGGCATGGTGCTGGCCATGCCGCGCATCTGTGCGCCGTTTCCCGCTTTAACAGGTTGCTCGCTGACGCCACTCGTCCCAGCTGGTCTGCTCGGGGCTATGCGTGGCGGCTCTCTCCATTTGTATTTAGCGGAACACGGTGCCCGTTCGTCATCGGAGGCGAGGAGATGTCTTTTTAAATCCTTTATATTAAGTTCACTTGCTTGCTTGCTTGCGCGCTTACGACCGTGCAAATCTTTCGGTCGTTTTTTAACCCACTTCCCGTGATCCAATCGAGCTGACATTTTGCACACAGACTCGTTGTGCGTGACAATTTATTTTCGTGAAAATGTTTTTCCAAAATTTTACACTTTTTAGGAAAAAATCAATTATATTTAATTACCAATTCCTTAATAGTGGCAGGCAATCATCTGACCCATAGGTGGCAGCCATCTCAAGCCAGAGGACGAGAGGACTCTAGCCGCTACGCATATAAAGGATTTATAGTGAAAAACTTTGTTTTTACGGGTTAATTTTTTGGCAAACCCAAATATAAACATTTCCAAAGGTGCGCTGCTGCTGCTACAACCTGCTGTGTCACAGCCAGAGGTTAATGGTGCCATGTCATTATTTTTCTGTTAGAAACTACTGCGCTGTAATGCGAGCTTTTCATCACCGCTGTCGCTCTCGCCCCCCTACGCGACTAAATGATTGTCCCGGGGGGGGGGGGGGGGGAGGTTCACTCGCCGTTGTTATCCAGCCCGTGGATATGCAATGTCGTCGCCCCGTGTGTGTACAGCCAACTGCACGCGGTATCACGGTTGTTCAAAAGAGACAAATGAACGTGACGATTTCCCCCCCCCCCCCCCATCTTTCTGAAAAACACATGGACCCATTTAAGCCGGCGCATGCACGCGCACACACACGCACGGCGACTGAGACTTAACACTTAGCGTTCAGCCGTGAGAGTCTTAAGACTACCGCGGCACGGGGGAACCGAGCTTGAAGCGCGGACTGGATGTTGCTATCTTTGAGGTCGCGATGGAATAAAGATGAGATCTAGAAACCGAGCTTGAAGAGTGCACTGGATGTTGTTATCTTTGAGGTCGCGATGGAATAAAAGATGAGATCGGGAAAACCGAGTTTGAAGCGCGGACTAGATATTGTTATCTTTCAGGTCGCGATGGAATAAAGATGAGACCGGGGGGGGGAAATCTTGAGCAACCAAATGGAAGAATAGAATTGGGAAATGGGGATGTGAGAGAGACAAATCGTCAATCTCCTTTCTTTAGCCATGTGAGAGCCCACTGCCTGTGGGTGTGTGTGTGTGTACGTTGAGCTTCTTTCGCGCCGTACGTAGCCGACCGTGGCACTCGTGTTGTCTTGCAATTGGTGCCGTTCAACCAGTTGTGAACCCATTCAGATCTGTCATTGCTTGTGATTGATGACCTTTGTTTAGGTCCACCGAGACTCTTGGTCCATTCCATACAATGCATCGTTTAATGTCCTCTGCGTAATCTCTCTCTCGAGAGAGCGGCTTTTCAAGTGATTGGTGTGGTTTTTCTTTTTAGCCAGGTGATAGTCAAGAGTGATTGGCCTTTTTAGGTGCAATGAACAGGCAAGTAGTGTGCATGTTTAATTTGCGGTAAATTTTAAAAGTAAAACATTTGGCTGCGGTACGTGAATATTTTGTGCGTGCCAAACCTACCCGTTGCAGGGCTGGGTGAGCAGATTGCGAGTTCGATTTTAGCATGACGGCAGGAAATCGTCGGGGCAAATGTATGTTCGTATAACACGTGGGCTTTCGTGACCAGTATTATCCGCAATGATTGGGATCCTATGATGGAATGCACATTATAAATCCGGAGTATTTATTCATTATTATTATGAAGGTTTTTTTTGGACATCACCTTTAGAACGCGTCAGGAGCAGTGGAGTTGTAGCGCCGTGTTTGTCGATGGGGCATTGCGTCGTTATACGTTGAATGGTCCGTTCTGGATGACCACAGCGGCACACTACTTCTGGAGAGATGTTTTATTTTCCATTTGTGCATCAGGTATCCGCATCTGCCATGGATTGTGTGGATGCAGTTTAAGCCGCATCTTGTGACGTTGATGATTAAAGTGACAATGATTGATGGCCATGATGATGATGATGAAAAAGGCGCCGGAGTTCAGGGAATCGAACTCAGGGGGCTGCCTGATATTGATGATTAAAGTGACGATAATTGATGATGATAGTGATGAAAAACGGGCCCGAGTCGGCGAATCGAACTCAGAGGGGGGGCGGGGGGGGAGCCCCCTTCTCTGCGGCGAAGACCCCGGGGGCTATTGCCACAGCTGCCCGTCCCCTGATGCTGGATGCCCCTTTCGGTCCCGCGCGTGTTTCTTTGTGGCGGCCGCAGGTCTACGAGACGCCCTTCTACGTGGCCGTGGATCACGACAAGAAGCGCGTTGTCGTGAGCGTGCGGGGGACGCTCTCGCTCAAGGTGCGCCTCCGGTGACGAACAATTCGCTTGCGCGCGTACACGCGCGCGTCAAAATGACCGCCCTCACGGTTCTCATCTCCCTCGGTGTCGTACGTTGAACTGCTCTCGCACCGTACGTAGCCATCTGTGCTCATCGGAAGGTGCGTGGAAGGACAACAAACTAACCACACAACTTAAAAAGATAATTCCGCCATCGCCGTGAAACGGTTTGCGTGGTGAGGCATTCTCTATCGCGACCGCGTGGCTGTCGCTGAGGCCAGGTGGGCGCTGCGGCGCGTCACACGCAGTGTCACCGGGGCACACGAGGCTTGAACCTGCCGTCGTTCCCGTAAATAGACGGCGTCTCTCCCGTCGAAACGCAATGGACACAATGCACTGGCGGCGGAGTGGACGGTGCAAACGACGTGTCGATGCCAAGGGAGAATGATTCTGACCCTTAACAGCACGCGCTCGTATCGGTGTGTTACCCTTCGGTACATCTTCTTGGTTCTTTTGGTAAAGTCACGTAGAAGGGAAGTAATAAAATAATAAAAATAAAACATAATAAAATAATTCTCACGACGTTTCGGCCACAACGCAAGCAGCCGTCCTCAGGTGAAGAACATGTCTGTCTAAGACTCTGTCTAAGACTTTGTCGACAGACATGTTCTTCACCTGAGGACGGCTGCTTGCGTTGTGGCCGAAACGTCGTGAGAATTATTTTATTATGTTTTATTTTTATTATTTTATTACTTCCCTTCTACGTGACTTTACCGAAAGAACCAAGAAGATGAACCCCTGCAGTCACGAAAGCTTTAAATCGAAACCCTTCGGTACGTTAGATCGAAGCGGAACAGTAGGTGATTCGATTGCTTGAGCATGACAAAGACACTTGGGTTGAATATTTCAAATTGGCCGTGATGTCAATCGGTGCATGCTCATGTACGGCTCGTTTGTCAATCCGCTGCTGGATGAGGGCCCCCTCCCTCCAACGCCGTGCAGGCCATGGGGGTGGGTTTACTTGACTATGCTTCACCGTGCTGCTCACTGTGGTGTTTGCTGAAGGTTGGGAGCATAGAAGTACTGTACAACAGTGGATATTGCTTCACGGAAGTCTCTTGCCCACCGTACAATTAATCATTGTTGTTTTTTAATGCTATATGCTGTCGTATTGTTCTATTTTTAATATATATTTTACAAAAATCAAGCTGTATATTTATTATCCACTACCCGGTCTCCACCTCCACAGCGCGACGCGTGGCTGTGTGCTTTGTCTCCTTCAGGATGCTCTCACGGACCTGACAGGCGACGCTGAACCCTTGCCGGTGGAAGGACATCCTGGCACGTGGCTCGGGCACAAGGTAGAGGGAGCTTTGCTGTTCATATCCAGTGCATCCCACGACAGGGTGAATTCTTCAGAGGGTGGCGGCAGCTTTTTTTTATTTTTACCAGGTAAGCCCCACCGAGATATTTAGCTCTTTTTTTCATTGAGCTATCATTTGTGGGCCTCAAATGATAGCTCAACGAAGCGTGTGGACAATTATAGCAGCCACGCTGATTCTAAATGTGGAGGGAAAAAACCAGAGGACCCGGAGAAAAATCCACGTGACCATGGGGAGAACATGCAAATTCCAAATATTATACAGGTGTCAGAGTCTGGATCAAACCCACAACTTCCTGTATACCAGGCGATGGAGTTAACATCTCACCAATGTGCCGCCCCAGGCCTTTCTCCCAGCGAGAATGGCCTGGGTCAGGGGTGGGCAACCAAAATAACAAGGAGAGACATTTTTTTCGAATTCGGTAAATAAAACGCTCAATATTTCAAGAGCCGCAATGCCATGTGAGTGCGAGATGGCGATCCTGAATAAATAACGTCACGAAGCAGTCGTTCAAGATATGTGGATAACGCTTTGGTTGTCTGGCCACATGGTAAAGATACACTTAATGCATTTCTAGATAATGTCAATTCGCAAAACCCAGCCATCCAGTTTACCATGGAAATGGAGGTGAATTACACACTCCCATTCCTGGATATTTTGCTCGGATGTGGCCAAAATGGTAAAATAACACACGGCGTTTACCGAAAGGAAATGCACACTGATGCCTATCGGAATGCAGATTCCCATCATCACCCTGCACAGAAATCCTCTCTCATCAAGACACTCATGCATCGGGCTAAAACAGTGTCAGATGGTGAACGTCTGAGGACGGATGGGTCCAGAGATCAGAGAGAGGTGGATTGCGTCACTATTCTGGCAAATCACCCGATGATGCTGGATGTATTTACCAGCGAAACATCGTACTCAAATTGAAAATGTCATGGATTTACTCTCCAACACACCATTTTATTAATTTACAAGTAATTGCAATTTTTACAAAAACTTCCCACGAAATGTCAACTGTTGTACGAATTCTTTACATTTATTCCAAATTTTTATAGTAACCCTCGGTTTTCTGAGAAAAAAATATGAGCCGCTGTTTTGTATCGGTGCAATGTGCTGCTGCGGCTTGCAACTTTGGGAGCCCGTAGGTTCACGCCGGCAAAGCTGGCCGTGTGGGTGAGATACCCACCGAGGGTTGTCGGGGTGCTGAGCCCACCACGGACACGACCTGGGGCCCGTGAGGCTCCAAATCCCAAAGAACCACGTTCTCAAGCAAACGTGCATGTGTCTGTGTGTGCGTGTGTGTGTGGGCTCAGCCTGGTCACAAGTGACTGCATCGAAATAAAACCCAGACTGGATAACTTCGCCAGGTGTGAACGATTGGGGGGAGCGGTAGTGAAGTGGTTAGCATGCTGCGCTATGATACTCGGAGACTCAAGTTCGATTCCCGCTCATGGCCAACGCCAGCGACGATTATCTGAGCCGGTCCTGGACCTCCCCTAGGTCAACAAAGGCGGCCGGACGTGGTGCTGGCCACCCACCCCCCCTCGTGTGCCGTGCCGGCCTCCATAGGTGCTCGCCAACAGCACTTGCCCCAACATTCTGTTACAGGCTGTACAGGGGGATATTTGTCTTTGGGCTCAGCCTGGTCACAAATGACCGCATCGAAATGAAACGCAGACTGGATTACTTCGCCAGGTGTGAGCCGGTTGCTGGTCACACGATCGAGGTGCGTTGAGCGATAAAAGCCGGTTGAATCGGTGGAACAAAAACAGTCTTGTCAATGCGCCGCCCCGTTGCACAAGTTCGAATGCAGGGCTTTACGCCGCGCCGCTGTGCTCTTAAGTCTGCGCCCGTGTTGCTGTGGCAAAGGAAGGCAGCACCGGCGTGTGATCCCGTACCTCATGCATTGCCTGTGTTGTGTCGCCTGTCGCTCTTCAGGGAATGGTTTTCTCTGCCAAGTACGTTAAGAAGAAGCTTGAAGAGGAGATGATTCTATCCCAGGCCTTCGGACGAGACCTGGTCAGTGCAGGTTCTTGCGCTCGAAAGTGTTTTGTTCAACGCGTTGCACCGCCACGTCTCAATTTGCTTCAGCAAGAGCTAACACGGCCATGAACAGTAGTTTCATCGATTTCAAACGAAACAAAACTATTTTTTTTTTTACCAGGTAAGCAATTGGATAGCCCCGCTGAAACTGAGTGACCGAACGATGAACACATGGATAGATCGTGTTGACTGCTGGGGATCAAACCCCCGGGTTTTCCCTCCACATGTAGCATCAACGCACGTTTCAAGTGTCTGGCTGATAACAATTTCCCCGTGATGCTAAGCCACTTCGTTGGGCCACAATTTGCGGCCAGGCCGCTTCTGATAAAATAGAGCTACACAGCTCGGCAGGCTATATAGCGTACCTGGTGTGTAAAAAAAAAAACGAGTTAAAAAAATTTACGAGTTTTAAAATAAGTGGCCCTGGGGTAGGCCACGGTCTACCCCAGGGGGATGACGCCCGCCGGCGGTGACGAACGACGGCGTGGGTCGCCACGGGGAGGGAACGTGCAAGAGGAGGGGGGGGGACGGCCACTCTGGAGAGTGATGACGTCGGCTCGTTTGAGCAGGAGCCACACGGGTGGATCCGTTGCACCGCGTGGCGCGTGTGAGAGTTTGGCGAGGGCTATGGTCGTGGGCGGGGGGAGTCTCTCACGATCTCACCAAAACAAACCCAATCACACCTCTACTGTGGATGATGTTGGTCACAAAAGCCTCACGTGTTAAACTCGCTCACGGCAGTCAGAGCGCACGCCTGTCAACCCCTTATCAGTGCCCTGCCTTATTACAGACCAATTCAGACCTCATTGATCACCCCGTGCCCCTTATAAATATCAACGTTCATCCTACAAAGTCCCATCACAAGGGAAAAACACACAAAAATAAGACAAAAAAATGTTGCCCGCATTGAAACGGCTGTACGCCGTATGGACCTGAAAACTGAATTTCCCTGTATAAGACTACGGGGTAAACCGTATGGGTTGACAGGTACGGTAGTGGGGAGCGGTGGTGCCACAGCGGTTAGCGTGCTGCGCTGCGCTACGAACCCGGCGACCCAAGTTCGATGCCCGCTTACGGCCACCAACACCAGTGACGATTATTTGAACCGGTCCTGGGCCTCCCTTAGGTCGACTCAACCTCAAATGAGTGCGTAGTGCAGTGTGTAAAAATTATCGCCACTGGGAAGACAAAGGCAGTCAGGTGTGCGGCTGGCCACCCACCCCCTCATGTACCGTGCTGGCCTTCGTAGGTGCTCGCTAATAGCACTTGCCTCAACGGTCTGTTAAGGCTATAACAGGGGATCTTTGTATTTGTCTTAGTAAGTATGTTGAACTTATTTCGCACCGTACGTAGCCAATCGGTGCTCATCGGATGTGCGGGGGAAGGACAACAAACTAAACACAAAGAAAGCAGTTCTAAAGAAATGAGTTTTCAATTTCGATTTAAAAGTGAACACAGCTCCAGTGGCTTCCTAAAATCAGAAAGGAGAGCAGTTCCAGACGGCCGCATCTGAAAGCGCGCGATGGGGTGACCGCTTTGGTTCGATGGCTGGCCGTGTTAACGACACAGCGATGTTTAGCCGTGTTGACGACACAGCGATTCGTCGATTCAAATCTCCTCCCGCGCCCACGTTGCACACGCATCAAAGTCGCGTGCGTGGGAGTGCGTAATTTGCTATTTATGTAAATGATATTCGAATGTTATGCTAATGTCACACTTAGGCTAATGGAGGGGACAAACCCGAGACAGAACGAACAAAAAATCGACACTAAGGAGATGGTAGGAATGTGACAAAAAACCCCCATGGGTTTCTCGAATCGAAGCGTTGACCCCTAAGCCGTGACGGATCATCTAATTGCGGGGGCGACGAGTGACTTGTTAACGTGCCCTGGCGCGCTATCGCGTACAAATCACCGGTTTTAGTCGAATAAAAAACAAACAAGTGACTGCCGATGTACGCTTGCGAGTGCGCACGGTTGTTGCGGGGGAGCTCCCATAAATCACCGACGTTACCGCATTGCACCGCGTGCACGCCCACCGCTCGTCACGATGCTCGGCCACGCTCGTGTGGGTTCATACGGACTCCCGTGGCCCGTTGCGTAACGCAAGCCTCAAGTGATTCTTACCTCACGCGTGATGCCCTATCAGCCGTAAAGCAGTACTGTACCACCCGGGGGGGCGGAGAAAAGATCTGCACAAGTTCTTCCCCTCTCTTACACCTGCGGTTTTATGGGAATGGCAAGATCGTCGGCAGATTTTGTATTCGGCAGAGGCTTTTTTGGAATTTATATGGACGTCGAATAATTTTTTGTAGACCGGCTCGTTGGTGAGATTGAATGTCGAGTGTCAACCGACGTGTAGTTTTTTCTGGCATTCGCTGGGGGAAAAAATGGCAATCGCGATGGAAATTAACAGGGATTTCTCCATTTTATGCCAAACGTCAGCACGACTCCTCCTCTCGAGCCAGGGAGTGTGGGAAAGTCTGCCTGCCAGAATATAAATTAGGCCCTCTTTAGTCGTACATGAACATTTTTTTTCAACAAACGTCCAAACTTATGGTATATTGTTGATTTGTTTGTGTACGTGTGTTGTTGTTGGTGTGGAGCTACGTGTGTGTGCGTGTGGCGAGCGGTAGTGTAGCGGTTAGCGTGTCGCGCTATGAACCCCGCCGACCCGGGTTCTAATCCCGCTCATGGCCGACACCGACGACAATTATCTGAACCGGTTCAGCGCCTCCCCTAGGTCGAATCAGCCTCAGACGAGTACCTGGTGCAGTGTGTAGTAAACATTGCAACTGGGGAGACCAAGGCGGTCGGGCGTGGTTACTGGTCACCCACCCCCTCGTGTGCCACATATGTGCTGATACTCGCTAAAACAGCACTTGCCCCAACAGTCTGTTAAAAGCTATCGGGCGGAGGGGAGGTGGTGTCTTTGTGTGTGTGTGTAATCACTCTGTCTTGCAGGGCCGAGGCACGAAGCACTACCACCTGGTCATCGTGGGCCACTCCCTCGGGGCGGGAACCGCTGCCATCTTGTCCTTCATGCTCCGCCCGCAGTACCCCACGCTCAAGTGCTACGCCTATTCTCCCCCGGGAGGCCTTCTCAGGTGGCAACTCACAACACTGCGCACGAGACCAAGACAAAGATCACTCCACCCCCCCCCACCCAGTGTAGCCTTCACAGACTGTTGGGGCAAGTGCTGTTTAGCGAGTAGCTCGCGATGCGGTGACCATCTTTGTTCGATGGGCAGCCAAAAGTTGCTGCTGCGAGGATGACCAGAGTTGTGGTGATGGTTTGTGCTCCTTGACGAGATCGGAAAAGTATTGCGGTTCATTTGTGGCGTGCACTTTGTGTGTAATGAGTGCGACACCAAGAGACAGCGGCCTCGAGCGATGAGGGCCGCTCTGCCCCTGGCGACGTGTGGGGATGCGCGTTGGGTGCGATGGGATGTGAACATGGGGAAGAGTTGTGGACTGGTGGATACAATGTCCGTCGATTTCCGTAACATTTACAAAAACGAGCAAAGCTGTTGGCAAACATTTTTCTCAGCCTAAGGCCCTTCGCAATTATACTTTCCTTTAGAATTTTATATATATATTTTAAAATGCTTTCACAAATGACAATTAACGACAGTTGACAATGTGGAAAGGTATTGCGATGGAGCGAACACAGATGGAACACTTGAAAAAGGTACCAAATACTGGAGAGAGAAACAAAAAACACGTGAAAAATGATTTAACTCGCAGCCAGCAAACACGGCGGCGGCAAGTGTTGCTGAAATCAACTTTCAGTGTAAAAATACCCCAAAACAACCGGAACGCATTGGCAGTGCGCTTTAACGGGTTCGAATGACCGTGCTGGCAAGTGCTGACTGTCCTCACGTGAACCCAGGCGGCGGATCAGTGCTCTGAGCCACCCGGCCACCTCTGCCGCCCCCCTTTTGTTGTGAAGTGAGCTCTTGCAGGGCCGGCTGCTATGGTGATAGCCTGTTAGGAGCACCGTAAGTCGATGCCGAGAAAGTCTATCACCTGTCTGAGCAAATACATATTTTTTTAGGTAATTGGTTGCCGCGGTGGCAAGATATTAACTACCTCGCCTGGTATGTAGGAGGTCGTGGTTTCGATCCCGACCCTAACACCTGTATATTTGGAGTCTGCGTGTCTCTCTCCCCGTGGTGGCGTGGATTTTTCTCCGGGACCTCCGCTCTTTCCCTCCACATTTCGAATCAACAGCAGGCGTTGAGAGTACTTGGCCTGTGTAAATTTCCACGTGATGACGAGCCACTTCATTGAGCTATCATTTGTGGCGAGGTCGCTTCTGAAAAAGTGCTAGATAGCTCAGTGAGCCTTACCTGGTATGAAATAAAAGAATTTTGTTTTATATTCTTGGTTCTTTCGGTGAAGTCACGTAGAAGGGAAACAATAAAATAATAAAAATATAAAACAATTAAATTCTCACGACATTTCGACTGCAACACAAGCAATCATCATCTTGCAGGGCTGGCAGGTGATGATGATTGCTTTCTGTTGCAGTCAAAACGTCGTGAGAATTTAATTGTTTTATATTTTTATTATTTTATTGTTTCCCTTCTACGTGACTTTACCGAAAGAACCAAGAATACGAATCCCTGCAGTCACGAAAGCTCTAAATCAGAATTTTGATTTAGTTTATTTTCAATAATTATTTTACTGACTTCGAGTTCGTCACCCACCGACATAGTCCGGTGCCATCAGTGTGTGGGCACAGGGCCTCGCACGGTCGGTATTTGGCGCTGAAATTTTCGGCTGCGCACGGCTTCTCTAGCAGAGGCAACACCGGGGCAGATGAGGCATCGTCTGCCCTTTTGCCAGAGACGCAGTTATTCCTTTGATTTGGCCCGTGGACACAATTAGTGGCGTAATTGCGGATAGAAGGGAAACGTACGAATGTACGTTGAACTTCTTTCGCACCGTACGTCGCCAATCGGAGGTGCGAAATAAAGAGGACACCCACCACCATCACGGAAATGGAGTTATGAGATGGTTTGACGTGCAGCCGTGAGATCGGAGTTTGGCATCACAGGGCCATAAAGGATGATGATGGTAGACGGCGTGGGGGTGCCTTCCTACAGCAGCGGATAATTCAAGGCTGATGATAAATCCGTGTTATGCTGGAGAGGCGTCCAGGGGAAGGGGTGTAAGTCACGCTGTGCGGTTTGGGGTGGGGGGGCCTCGTTTGGTGTGGGGGGGGGCATTTATTATTCAGTAGAAATACAAAACTTATTTTACCAGGCAATGCCCACTGAGCTATATATAGTGATTATGCACGCCGAGGGGAAAACCGGAGCGCCTGGAGAAAAACCCACGCAACCACGGGGAGAGAGAGAGAGACACGCAAACTCCAAATATACATCAGCAGACGTCAGGGTTGAGATCGACCCCACGACCTCCTGTATGCCAGACGAGTTAACATCTCGCCACCGTGGCGCCTGTCATCATCATGCAGTCGTCACATCATCAGCAGCCACAATCCATTCACTGCTGGATAAAAATGATTCCCAATTAATTTCGTCACAATTCCTTGCGATGGCAATGCACAGCCATCGCTAATGGTCTCAACTATGTCTGTAATGATGAAGGATAGAGCTCGAATCGCCATAATGACACGGCATGGGGGAAGCCTTCATCCAGCATGCAATTGGCAAAGGACTCGAATAAGTTATTAAAACTATTATATTGCCTGTGAATCTCCTAATTAAATGGAGGCTCCATTAACAGAATAACTGTATCGGCTTCTTGCGTAATTTTTTTGTAGCCGCTTGCAATCCAAATGAACAAGCTCGTCAGCTTGTTTTGCGCCACGGTGGCGAGATGTAACTACCTCGCCTGATCCCGACCCTGACGCCTGCTGTACATTTGTAGTTTGCGTGCTTCACTCTCCCCGTGGTCGGCTACATTTTTTCCTCTGTGTCCTGCGGTTTTTCTCTCCACGTTTAGAATCGACTTCACGCGTTTACAGCGTTTGGCTGCTGTACATTTTCACACGATAAGCCACTTCGCTTAGCTATCATTTGTGATGGCCAGGCCGCTTCTGAATAAGGGCTTTACAGCTCGGTAGGGCCTCAACTGGTAAAATAGAAATAGTCCGCCCAGACAGTCACGGCGTTTGAATAGTAAAAAAAATATATATATATATTTTTTTAGTTTGCTTGATGAATAGCCTCCCCACAGTGCTTCGCTGTGCGGGAGCCTTCCCGTCGTGCAGACGATCACGCTGCTCTCTGCTTGTCAGTGCGATGAGCGTGTGGCTTCGTGTCGCTGCTCTGTTTCAGCGAGTTTAACACGCAGGAGGCTTTCGCGACCAATATCGTCCATAATAGAGGTTTTTTGGGTTTGGTCGCGTAAATATTTAAATGTGTCGTTAAACCCGCCACCACCCGACACGGCCAATTAGTAAGGTTTGACACATAAACAGAACGTGCCAATTCGTTACTTGTACAGCACATCGGTGTGTTGGAGAGCCAAGCCACAACATTTACAATCTGAGTACGACGTTTCGCCAGTAATTACAACCAGCTTCATCAGGCGACAGCCAGATTTGTGGAGAAATCCACCTGTTTTGTTCCTTATGTAGAGGGGTAGATGTGATGACGTCACTTGTGAGCCCTTCTTGTGCGAAGTACGGTAGGGGGGGGGGTTAATGAATGCATATAAATGAATATGGATATCCATTGCCGTTTGGGTTATTTATATGATAACCAACGTTCATTATGCATGCACATTGTGCAAGCCCATTGCTCTTGTACTTCCTGTCGATTGTGCGTCTTTTTCTCTTTCAGTGAAGCAGCGATGGAAGAGTCCAAGACCTTCGTCACGTCCGTCATTCTGGGAAAAGATCTGGTCCCGAGGTGAGCCACGCACCACACGCACCACACCACACGCACCACACCACATGCACCACACCACACGCACCACGCCACACGCACCACACCACACGCACACCACACCACACGCACCACACCACACACACCACACCACACGCACCACACCACATGCACCACACGCACCACACCACACACACACCACACCACACGCACCACACCACACACACACCACCCCACACGCACCACACCACATGCACCACACCACACGCACCACACCACACACACACCACACCACACGCACCACACCACACGCACCACACGCACCACACCACACGCACCACACCACACGCACCACGCCACACGCACCACACGCACCACACCACACGCACCACACCACACGCACCACACCACACGCACCACGCCACACGCACCACACCACACGCACCACACCACACGCACCACACCACACGCACCACACGCACCACGCCACACGCACCACGCCACACGCACCACACGTACCACACCACACGCACCACACCACACGCACCACACCACACGCACCACACCACACGCACCACACGCACCATACCACACGCACCACACCACACGCACCACACGCACCACACCACACGCACCACGCCACACGCACCACACCACACGCACCACACCACACGCACCACGCCACACGCACCACACGCACCACACCACACGCACCACACGCACCACACCACACGCACCACACCACACGCACCACACCACACGCACCACACCACACGCACCACACCACACGCACCACGCCACACGCACCACACGCACCACACCACACGCACCACACCACACGCACCACACGCACCACACCACACGCACCACACGCACCACACCACACGCAACCACACCACACGCACCAGACGCACCACCACACGCACCACACGCACCACGCCACACGCACCACACGCACCACACCACACGCACCACGCCACACGCACCACACGCACCACGCCACACGCACCACACGCACCACACCACACGCACCACACCACACGCACCACACCACACGCACCACACCACACGCACCACACCACACGCACCACGCCACACGCACCACACGCACCACACCACACGCACCACACCACACGCACCACACGCACCACACCACACGCACCACACGCACCACACCACACGCACCACGCCACACGCACCACGCCACACGCACCACACGCACCACACCACACCACACGCACCACACGCACCACACGCACCACACCACACGCACCACACCACACGCACCACACCACACGCCACGCACCACACCACACGCACCACACGCACCACACCACACGCACCACACGCACCACACCACACGCACCACACCACACACACCACACCACACGCACCACACCACACACACCACACCACACACACCACACGCACCGCACCACACGCACCACACCACACGCACCACACGCACCACACCACACGCACCACACCACACGCCACACGCACCACACCACACGCACCACACGCACCACACCACACGCACCACACGCACCACACCACACGCACCACACCACACACACCACACCACACGCACCACACCACACGCACCACCCCACACGCACCACACCACACGCACCACACCACACGCACCACGCCACACGCACCACACCACACGCACCACACCACACGCACCACACCACACGCACCACGCCACACGCACCACACCACACGCACCACCCCACACGCACCACACGCACCACACCACACGCACCACCCCACACGCACCACCCCACACGCACCACGCCACACGCACCACACCACACGCACCACACCACACGCTCCACACCACACGCACCACACCACACACACCACACCACACGCACCACACCACACGCACCGCACCACACGCACCGCACCACACGCACCGCACCACACGCACCACACCACACGCACCACACCACACGCACCACGCCACACGCACCACACCACACGCACCACACCACACGCACCACCCCACACGCACCACCCCACACGCACCACCCCACACGCACCACCCCACACGCACCACCCCACACGCACCACACGCACCACACGCACCACACCACACGCACCACGCCACACGCACCACACCACACGCACCACACCACACGCACCACACCACACGCACCACACCACACGCACCACACGCACCACACGCACCACACCACACGCACCCACCCCACACGCACCACCCCACACGCACCACGCCACACGCACCACACCACACGCACCACACCACACGCACCACACCACACGCACCACACGCACCACACCACACGCACCACGCCACACGCACCACACCACACGCACCACACCACACGCACCACGCCACACGCACCACACCCACACGCACCACCGCACACACGCACCACACCACACGCACCACACGCACCACACGCACCACACGCACCACACCCACGCACCACCCCACACGCACCACCCCACACGCACCACGCCACACGCACCACACCACACGCACCACACCACACGCACCACACCACACGCACCACACCACACACACCACACCACACGCACCACACCACACGCACCACACGCACCGCACCACACGCACCGCACCACACGCACCACACCACACGCACCACACCCCACGCACCACACCACACGCACCACACCACACGCACCACCCCACACGCACCACACGCACCACACCACACGCACCACACCACACGCACCACACCACACGCACCACACCACACGCACCACCCCACACGCACCACACCACACGCACCACCCCACACGCACCACACGCACCACACGCACCACACCACACGCACCACACCACACGCACCACACCACACGCACCACACCACACGCACCACCCCACACGCACCACACCACACGCACCACACCACACGCACCACCCCACACGCACCACCCCACACGCACCACACCACACGCACCACACCACACGCACCACACCACACGCACCACACCACACGCACCACACGCACCACACGCACCACACCACACGCACCTTACCACACGCACCACACCACACGCACCACACCACACGCACCACACCACACGCACCACACCACACGCACCACACCACACGCACCACACCACACGCACCACACCACACGCACCACACCACACGCACCACACCCCACGCACCACACCACACGCACCACACCGCACGCACAACACCACACGCACCACACCGCACGCACCACACCACACGCACTACACCACACGCACTACCCCACACGCCACACGCACCACACGCACCACCCCACACGCACCACACCACACGCACCACACCACACCACACCACACGCACCACACCACACGCACCACACCACACGCACCACACCACACGCACCACACCACACGCACCACACGCACCACACCACACGCACCACACCACACGCACCACACCACACGCACCACACCACACGCACCACACCCCACTCACCACACCACACGCACCACACCCCACGCACCCCACCACACGCACCGCACCACACGCACCACACCACACGCACCACACCCCACGCACCGCGCCACACGCACCACGCCACACGCACCACGCCACACGCACCACACCACACGCACCACGCCACACGCACCACGCACCACACGCACCGCACCACACGCACCACGCCACACGCACCACACGCACCACGCCACACGCACCACACCACACGCACCACACCACACGCACCACACCACACGCACCACACCCCACGCACCACACCACACGCACCACACCGCACCACACCACACCCACCACACCACACCACACGCACCACACGCACCACACCACACGCACCACACCACATGCACCACACCACACGCACCACACCACACGCACCACACCACACGCACCACACCACACGCACCACACGCACCGCACCACACGCACCGCACCACACGCACCACACCACACGCACCACACCACACGCACCACACGCACCACACCACACGCACCACACCACATGCACCACACCACACGCACCACACCACACGCACCACACCACACGCACGGCGGTACTGACGGTAGACTCCTCCCTTGCCGCCCGTGCCAATGTCACCTCGGGTGGGGGCCAGGGGGGATGGTCAAAACTAAAATTATCTGGAAGAATCAATTTCACGAAGGAAATTGTGTTTCCCCTGAAATCGTACAAACGACGATATAAATTTATCCATTTAAGCGGCGCATTGCACGGTTTTTAACACCATCCGATAAAATGGTGTGGCAGTTTGCTTAATCGGTTTCTCACTGCATGGTTTCAATGCTTATAAGGGCCATCGCTGAACATTAACCTGGTCCCAAAGAAAGGCATTCCACGGGGCTATCTCGTTGGACAAAGGTCTGTGGCGGGTGAATGAAAGAAAAAAACAACCTCAGGAAATGGATTGACACGCCAAGATAATGTTAAATCATCCAAACATTGGAATTGTTTTTTGTTTCCGGGGTTAAATAATAAAACATGCAATGGTTGACGATGCCTTCCAAGCGGTGATACCCAGTGGCGGAAATGGGCCGATATATACGGCACTACGCCAGTCCGGCACTTCTTGGAACACCAAACACGTATCAGGCCCCGTGGTGTAAAATGCACAAGGATATCCAATCCATACCCATGGCCTCTGTGTGTGTGTGTATGCTACGAAGATGAGCGAGCTGTTGCCCAAAACATCACCTATTATATACACTTCCCTGTCAAGGCCACGGTGTTATTGACACATGCGTCGGGTCGTTTGTTATTTAAACCTGCATACCACTGCCACTGTTTTAGAACAGTTCCTATTCCTACGCTGCGACGTTTTCGTACAGAGGGGAAAGGGCAGCGAACTTACGTTTGTGGCTCCTCCACATCCTAAATGAAACCTCAACCCACATACGATCACCGCAAACAGCTGACCACATGGCTCGATAAGGCCAACGTTTAGACGCTTGCGGCATTCGGGCACGGTTGTAGATAAAATTGTCTGGTTGTCTGTCTCTCTCTCTCTCTCTGAGT